TGAGAAAAGCCAGGGCAGGAGGCTGAACACCCCCGCCCGCGAAATCACGGCCTCGGTGCTCGATTTGGGAGCGCATCTTTGCTTTGCTTCTCTGCCTGTTCTGCTACCCAAGGAGGAGTTACAATTATTGCCCCAAATAAAATTACTGTTCTAGTTCCACTGAGCTGTATGTTGAGGTATTTTTTAATTCTGGCAGAAGGCTGACGCCCAGCGTGTAACTGGAGTAGGGACGCTCCTCGCTGCAGCTCTCCGAGAGGGGGGAAAATTAAACACGTGGGGTTCCTCGATAACTTTTCAAGTTTAAATAAAACAGAGAAAGGGATGAAAAAGGTAATCGTGGAAGAAAATGACAGAAAGCACCATCACCACATCAGCCTCATTCCACTTGTGAAATGACTTAGAACTGATTAAAACTGATAAACATGCACTGAATTTAAAACCGAACACAACGCACGCACACAGGCACACAAAAAACCACGTAACTTCCCGCAATTAAACAACATCAACATACCCTCCCCCCCCAATATCAAAAAACCTAATACGAGGAAAGCTAAAGCATGAAAAACCTGTGAGCTTTTAAAGAAAAAAAAAAAGACAGGAAAGGTGAAAGACCAAAAACCATGCAGATTTTAGAGCTAGAAATGGGGAGGAATAACAAACACCAAGAGGCCTGGTAAATCAGTATCTTTATTTTATAGAAATTAGTTTGATCAGTGTGCTGAACCTACCATTAGAGGTGGTTTTGCTATTTTTTAGTAAAAATAAACATTTGAAAAAATTACCTTGGAGGACATACTGCCTCCAAGCTTATCTCCTTTTAATCACTGTTGCTTTTTTCAAACCTATTGCAACTAACCTAACACTGGGTGCTTTTAAGAGGAAGGGAGTGGTAGCTAATGTAGGATATCTCAACAGTTTATTTCCTGTAACTGGTAGCGAGTTTTCTAAAATTAAGCAGAACATGCGTAAGCTCACCTTGCGCCAAAGCAGCATAGTACAAAACCTGCATCTATTCCACTCTACACCTTTATCCATAAACATCCTGCAACATCAGCTGTCAGCTGAAGAATTTTCTGGTTAAAAGTCACACAGCAAGCCAGTTTAAGTACCCAGATGGACAGTTTAACTCTCACAAGTTACTATAGTAGAGAACCTGGATCATATACGTGTTTGAGGTAACAGAGTCAATCAGCAACACAAGAATGACACACTCTGATTGCATTATGTATTGCTGCATAGACAAACACAAGTCACAACTGCTACTCTACAATATTTAAAAGGGACATTATCAACTATAAACTACATTACTTTGTCTGGACATGGAATTATTGTTGAGCAAGCACTGGTGAATGCAAATATTAAGTTCCATTTGCACACATGGCTACTACAAGTACAGAACCGTGAGTAGCCACTATTACCCTTAAGTGTGAGTAACTTGCATAGTAACAGGGAGAAAGCATTAATACCCAGAGGACAACAGTCAACGGAAGTCCTTAAGGGCAACAGCTGGAAGAGTTTTTAATTCAGTTCTTCCCCAACAAACATATTTAAAGTTGAGAGTGTCCCTTTAAAAGTTTCAGATACAACAAACATTTACTCATTTTGATTCCATCATCACAAGAAAACTACCGATTACTTGATTTACAATACTTGTTAAACATCAATAAACGTTGTACAAGCAAAGAATTGATTTGTAATTGAAGTAGCAGCAACATTGAATTCTAGAAGGTTGAGGTTTTGCAGGATTTATTGGGAAGATTATGAAGGTGTGGCTATTACACTGTGATTTTACATAATTTAGTTTTGAGAGTAGCTTATGGTAACTAAAAACATTATTGAAAATGCCTGCTCACAGCCAGTACTTTTCTGGTATAAGCACAGGTTTGCCAGGATTATCCATAGTGCAGCTCTAGTAAAAAAAAAAGACAACATTGTATGCCTTAGCAAATAACATATAAAATCCCCTCAGCTCACAGATGATATAACAGCTTTTTATGATTACCAGTACAATAAACTGAGCTTGAAATATTAAAGCTAAATCAGATATAAATATTTAAGGATAAAACATCAAGGACATAATTATATAATGCTGCCATAATTTTTGCACATTTTCCTTTTCTGAATGCACTTTTGTTAGTTCAACAGGTGCATAAAACCAACGCATGTACATAAGTAGCTACAAAGTCAGGGTGTGCTACTGTTATCTCCATTGTTTTCCTTCTTTCACAAGAATTAAGGAATATTAGAAACTCATTCACTAAAGCAGATATGACATGCACATTGGCCAAGTCTGTTTTGTAAGGTGGTAGCGCTTTTAGTCAGTCACTTTCTGGTCCATCACTGTACTTAAACTGTTTTGATATCAATTTTTATTTCAATCTACAATTGCGGAAGAAAATGACAGTTGAATCACTGAACAGCTGTACCAGTTTGAAGTGCTGCCACATGTTTCTTCATGGCAAAATATTCACATTCTTCTTATTGCACAATTTGAAAATTCAGGTTATGTGCATTAAAACCTTCATAGTGTTTGCACTGCAACTTGCAAAACATACATTTAAAATTACCTTAATACATTTTACAAAATCTTTTAAAACAATTTTATATTCTTAAGACAAAAGCATCCTGAGAATGTTACAAAGTTCATTTTACAAGCCCTTCAGTTCTGCTATGCTTTATTTATCCCCATAGTTCCTAATTTGACAAGTTTATTTTACAGTTAATATCTTGGTGCTATGTTTCACAAAATATCTTTTAGCAAAAAGTACACCATTGGCATTCAAGTAATCCAGCCTCACATCTAATTTACAAATTAAATCTTTGTCATGCTCTCAAGTCAGGAAAAGTAAACCAAAATACTTACAGAAACAGGTTTTAGCTGACTAAAAAATGTAAAGGCTTTGTGCATTAATCATTTGGTCAAACATTTAAGTTATGCAGTTAAATATTTTGGCAAAAAAAATCCATCTACATTTTTCAAAGTTTTTAAGGTTTTTCTTTCATTTTACACCAGACGTAAACTCACAGTACAAAGACTGACAGTATTTAAGTACTTTGCTGTTTAACGTTTTCCTTTTTCAAAGCACTTCTGAAAAGCAAACAAGAACATAAGTGCTAAGAATGAACTGAGTATCTTTGGGCTAAATAAAAGTCTTACTGGAAAAAATGTAAAAATAAATTAGTTGTTTGTTGTTCTGTGTTTTCTTCTCTACAGACATGTAAATAAATAGTATTTGAAGAAATTCTAGTGCCATATCCTAAAGAAGTATCTTCCTGTGTCTCTTCAATCAAGACAAAAGCTTCAGACATAATCTTGACTACTTTACTAGGAAGATATCCATTAATATTTACATATTTTTGTAAAGGAAGTGTTCAGGGTTAAAAATATATTTCTTTTTAAAAGGTAAGCCTGCCATCCTGATGGCAGTGGTTCAAGCTATGGAACAGAAGACTACTTATAGAACATCCTTCAGTTTCTTATACCCTAGATCAGGGGAAGGAGATTGTGCAAGGGTCAACAGCCTGGATTTGAGGAATGGAGACAGACAGTGGCTTGTTATATGAATGCTTGCACAGCCAGGAGTACTCATATAGGCTTTGTTTCTCTTCTACACATAGGTATCAACTTTTATTTTTGGCTGGCTAAACAAGTTGAAAAGACAGTTACGATTGCCACAGCAAAGAAATAACATTATCTAAGGTTTCCATTAGGAAGGATCTGCTTTTAGAAGGTGGCCAGGTGTTCAATATAAGCAGAGGCCATGAACAAATGTTACACTCCAGGGAGGAGTGTAACTACCTCAAAAGGAAGAGTAAACCACTTCAGCAACATCTTGCTAATATTCTAAGTATATAATTTAAAGTTGTGTATAGCTTTTATTTCAGGCAATGATCAAAATCTGAAGGACCTTGTTAATCTTTAAGGCATCAGTGCATCACGGACTAGAAGCTCCAGGTAATAAATATCGGGAGGAAATAACAACAACAAAAGCATCTTTGTGGCACAAGCTATCATTGTGTATTTGCTTTGTTGGCTAGTTCCAGGAAAAATATTTTCAGGGATGGCAGAAGGGGAATGTTATACACAGTTCCAAGAAAAATATTATATCATAAATTTCACATCATGTTTTAACACATCATTTAAAGGGCTGAATCTATCAGGCAAGATTCTCATCTTTACTGTTCCATCAGCACCACAGGAGAATATGTGATTTGCTGGTCCTGTCTCAATTTGCATGACTCCTGTCCCAATGTTTCTGAAGAGAGACTGTCGAGCATGCTCATTGATGAAAGTATGAAGAAGACCAAATGTGGAAAGACTCCATACCTGAAAAAGCATAAAACATCAATCTCTTATAGGAAACCTACCAGTAATGTGTCATGGAGAAACTGGACAACATCTTGCATTTATTTTTCTGATACTAACTTTAAAAGAAAAGATATGCAGCAATATGTAGTAACACCGTTAAATGGTATTAATTTTCTCCAATAAGGAGTATATATGGGACTAAAGTAAGACTAACTGTCATGGATGTGAGTCTGGTGGGTATTTTTGTAAAAAAAGCAGGGGCAGACTCGTGCGAAACTTTGAGAGTCTCCCCCATCTCCGGGTAGAGTCAGGCCTGCCTGTGGCCAGGGCCAGGCCAGGCAGCGCCTCTGCCATCAAGGCATTTCAGAGGCGACCCCACTGTTCTTGCTCTCTCGTTTGGTTTCCTCTTGTGTTGAGCTGTCCTGTCTTTAATATTGGGGAGTTTTTCTGTCGGAGGAGGGGGAGGTGAGAGGAGAACAAAAGAACATTGCCCTGAGTAGAAAGAGATGGAGAAGAGTTTCTGAGGAAAAGAAGGTGGCTGCTGGAGCAGGATCTTTCCCTGGAGCCTCGTAGTGGCTGAGATGGCAGGAAGGGGATTGCCTGACAGCTGGGGGACTGACGGCAGTGAGAGCATCCAGGATGTGTCAGTAGGTGCAGAGCCCCATGCTGGAGGGGAGAGAGACCGAGCATCAGCGGGTGAACGCACCTGAAGCAATCCATGGCCCTGAGGGGCTCCCGAGGAGGAAGAGGATTGCCTCCGCTGAGGTGGACACCCCACGGCAGGAGGGAGAGACTGTGAGGAGCCCTCTTTCTCAAGGAGGAGCTGCCATGGACAATGGCCAGATGGACCAACTCCCCATCCCCTGCTCCCTTGCATAGATGGGGGGGCAGGAAGTAGCTGAGAAGATGGGAGGGGTGGAGGGGTGAAGGGTATTTAAGATTGAGTCATATTTATTGATGTTATCCCTCTTACTTTCCTACCTTGTAAACGGTGGTGCTGAATTTAATCTATGTTTTTCTCCCCAGATCGCTCTGTTTCTTTACCCATCATTTTAAATGGCAGATTGTTACCCTCCCTATCCTTAATCTCAAACCTTTGAGTCTTTTTAGTTGAAACTGTCTCCCTCCATATCACTGTGGAAATAGGGGTGGAGTGAAGATTGAGCTAAAGACCGCATGGTTCTTTGTTCCAGTCAGCTTGAACCATGACACTGACTAAAAGAACTGCAAGGTAAGACTTAACACTTCATAATTAAATTAGTAAATGCAAAAGTCAGGGCTGAGAACAAATGTAGAATATACATATTATTATTCCACACCTTTATGAATTTGCACATCATCACCTACTTCATCTCTCCTCCCTCCCCCTCATCAATACCTTTATGTTGCCTTCAGCAGAACCCGTGACAAAATACTCTTCTGTAGGATCAACAGCAATTGCTTTGACTGGAGAATCATGACTCTGGAGTAACTGCTGCTGTTGTTTTTGGCGAAGATCAATTATACATGTAAAGCCTTTTCTGCCTCCAGATATTAACAGCTGATGTTTTGGGGCATATGCTAGCACAGTTGCTCCACTATCATGACAGATAAAAGCTGAAAGTCAAAGCAAAGGTAATTTAATAAATAAAGACACAGTACTAACTTCAATTTCATAGTACTAACTTTAATTTTCCATCAATTTGGTTCAAGGCAGTAGCAACACTGACTTTGATGCTGCAATCCAGTTGTCCACAACCAGTCCATTTACTGCAGTAGCTTATACGTATGTAAGCCCAGGTTCACATCAGACACCCTGAAGTTGCAGTATTCTCAAACTAAGCAGTTATGAGAAAAAAAATAAAAATCCTTTTTCTATCCCTGTGTAATTACAAACTATTAAGCCTTGACCAGAAACAGATTCTTTTCAAACTCTCTGCTGCTTATTTTAAGGCATACATTTCCTATACGATATGTCCTCCTAAGTTACTTGCCTGAGTATTTATTACATCTCAAAAAGCATACTTATAGGAATAATTCTTCTAAAGCACCTTTGTGATACTGTGGCATGCACACACAAAGAAAGCCTTTAAAACATCCCACAGTATTTGGCACAATATAGAGAATAGAAGTGTCACAGAACCGGACAATCTTTGAAAGCGAAAATGCCCTACCTTACATATAAAAAAATCAAGTTAGTCTTTAAGTTAAACTCTGAAAATTACTACATAAGAACTTATTTGTACATCTGCTTTTTCAATATATTAATTAAAAACAATCAATGAATAGTTTCTAGAAAATGTGGTGCATTTATTGATACATGTACCTTCAAGAGAATCGTTTTGTCATTTTGGACTTTGACAGAGGCAATGAAAAAAACTTCCTCACATATTCTCCAAACAAGTACTGTATCTGCAAGTGCCCAATACTATCTTTACAGTACCATTATTTTGTCTAACACTTATGCCCTGTTTTCAGCTGGGATAGAGTCAATTTCTTCCTAGTAGCTGGTACAGTGCTGTGTTTCAGATTTATTGTAAGAGCAACATTAATAACACACTGATGCTTTAGTTGTTGCTAAGCAGTGCTTATCCTAAGTCACAAATTTTTCAGCTTCCCGTGCTCTGCCAGCAAACAGGTACACAAGAAGCTAGAAGGGAGCATGGCCAGCACAGCTGATCCAAACTAGCCAAGGGGATACTCCATACCACAGAACATCATGTTCTGTATGTGAACTGAGGGGAGCTGGTGGGGGCAGTGGATCACTGCGTGGGCTTTGGTCAGCACATGGTGAGCAACGGCATTGTGCATCACCTCCTTGGTTATATTTCTCGCTATTTTCATTATATTTCTTTTCAATACCGTTATCATTATTACTACTACTATTATTATCATGCATTATTATTATTATTTTAGTCATTAAATTGTGATTTTTCAACCTGAGTTTTACTTTTTTTCCAATTCTATCACTAAAGGCAGGAGTTGCTCAGAATTTTTTAAAAAGCAAATTACAGATGTCTTGCTGTTAGAGGTTGCACTTGTGGTGCAAATGTGCAAGGTATGTCAAGGAATATGACCATGTCCAATCATTTGTATATAGCCCTAAATTTATCAAAAATCTGTTTTTATATGTCCTGCTATACATAGGACAGTGAAAGATATTTTTCTTCTAATATTAAAATTATTTCCCACAGTATCTTTTCCATAAAGACAGACATATTTATATATTTTACTGTGATCGAATATTTTGCTGGTTGTATTGTACTTACCATGCACCAAGCTATTTGTAGGTGAAACCAAAGTATCCCAAAGACAAATATTTCTGTAGAAAGAAAAATGTTTCAAATATTACAAATGTTCTAAAGTGTTTTGAATACTTGAAGAATCATCTAAACCTTGAAAAGATTGTTTCATGCACTGAGCAGAGCCAAAATTACTTTCACAGCTACACATATACGGCAAGAACATGCCCTCTCCATAATCATTCTGTGACTGGTTACTCTCATAAAGCATTCATACTGAGATCACAATCTTCTGAAGCTGAATTCACCTGAATGTTATCAGTTCTTGCTATTTCTTGATCAGAACTTGCTTAAGAATGTGAAATGAAAAGCTATGTACAACTCCCTACATTTACAAAAATTCTTTAAGACAGACTCATATGAATAGAACACAGTATTTCAGCTGGAAGGGACCTACCATGATCACCTAGTGCAACTGCCTGACCCCATCAGGACTCGCCAAACACTAAAGCCTGTTATTAAGGGCATCGAGTGCCCCTCTTGGGAGCCTGTTCCAGTGTCTGACCACCTTCTTGGTAAAGAAATGATTCCTAATGTCCAGCTTGAACCTCGAGTGATGAAGCTTTAAACCATTCCCACATGTCTTACCACTGGATACCAGGGAGAAAACATCAGCACCTCCCTTTCCACTTCCCCTCCTCCTGTGGAACATGAGCAGAGGATCTGTGCTCCCCTATGGAACCTCCTTTAACAGGCACATGGAATTTAGCTGCAAGCATTGCTTCTCCACCCTCCCATGAAGAAAGAGCAGAAGTACACAATTTGCTCTTAAACTGCTTAAGAAGAATGAGTAACGGAGGGAAAAAAAAAATAAAGGGCGGAGGGGCAGGAGGGAGGGAGTGATAGAAAACATGGCACCACTACATTTTGATGCATTATTACAGCAGTTCTTACCTGTTGTCGGAAGACAATCCTGCTGTGGCTATCAAAGATGATGAACTGATGAAAACAAAGTCATTGGCTGTTTTGTTATGACACTGCCACGTCTGAAAAATTGCAGTTTAGAAATTATTAATTAAAAGAAATTTTATGTAAGCATGAAATCTTACAACTTTCTCAAGAAGGTAAGCTGTTTCAAAAACAATTTAAAGAACACAGGATATAAAGGCATGTGTAAACCTCCTGATAGGCTTAATTTTTCATGGAAGTATACTCTCTAGTCCTGTGTTCTTGAAAATTAATTAACAATTGACAATTACTGACAAGTCTCATAGAACATTAAAGTTATTTCAGATCTAACAATTTTATTTTCTACTCTCCAACTTCATAAGTATGACTAGGATTTAAGAATTTGTCTGTCACACAGACCAAGGATGGCAATAATAGATTATTAAATCTTGATTAATACTGTTAATTGGCACAATCCCTACCATCTTCTAACCATTTTCAAGGAGGGAAGAAATAAGTGAGCACAACACAAGTTTATAGAAGCAAATTTAGTTTTCAGCTTACCAAGTATGGTTTAGGCGAAGTTCCAGTAAGTGGGCAACATTTCCAATTTGTTTGATATAAACTTATATATCCATCAGCATCAACAATTCCAAACTGAAAAAGATGTATAGATTGTAAATCCGTATTTATATATCACAGAGAAATTATTCACAATTCAGAGAAATTATTTTATATTTGAAGAACATGACATTTCTGCTAATTTACAATTATACTGAGGAGGGGAGGACAAGAAGAGGGTAAGTACAGAAGCATCCTGGCAGTTACCTTATTTCCTTGGTAATTGAATCTCATTCGAGTCACTCTTGAGTTGCCACCAGATCGAAAACACATGATTTGCTGTGCATGACCCCATTCAAACATTCTCACACTACCGTCTTGAGCACCAGTCAGGTCTGCAACAGAAAATATTTACATGACTTTTCACAGGTGTTGTAGCAGCTAAGTAGGAAAATTGCTTCCAGAATTTTAAGAAATCTTACACCAGATCACGTCATCTTCAGAATGACTAGAGGTCCAATATGTGTCATACTACTCGGCACACTACAGGAGGTAGTGGGTACCACTGAAACTTAAACCCATGCTATTTGAACCTTACTGAACTGCACTTACTCATTATTTAAGAACTATATTGAGATGGTACTGAAATATGAATCTATTCATTTGGAGATAATAATGTATTTTTTCCCTACAATCTTTCATCCAAGTCACAAATAAAACAGAAACACAGTACTTTTTGTTAGAAAAAAAAAACAAAACTGTTTCTAAAGGTAATCTATATCCCTCAGTATTATTTTTTTAGATGAATGATAGTATTAGCAAAATAGAGCTTGTAAGCAACTTTTAAAAGTTATAATTGGTTGCTGTGCAAGTACAAATTAGCATATTTAGAAACAGGGCCAATAAGTAAATATATCATTTTTATTTATTTTATTTCATTTTTTTACAAAACTGAACTTACAATACGGCAATGTCGGATGAGAAGCCATTCTTCTAACATTATTAATAGCCTTCTTGAGCATCTGTTCAGTACACAAAACAACAGAAAAGAATTAAACAATACTACCAAACAATACATTACTGAACTAGAAAAACTGGTGATCGCGGAGAGTTGTTTCCTATGATAATTCCCACTGAAAGCAAGTACTGCGTTTAGAAATGCAGAGAGAAGTCAGTTTCTTCCAAGACTAGTGTAAATGTTAATACTTTTGCAGCTTTATACATCTAAGCAAATTATAGATTTTTGCTTCAGAGATTTATGGATCCAAATATAAAGACTCCTTAGTCTGCAGTCTTACCTCTTTCCTTGCCAATTCCCTTCTGATTCCATTAAATTTATTGGAATATTCCTGAATATTGTAAGATAAGCAAGAGAGAGGCAGAAGCATGTAAAGAAAGGTAAACAAACTTTAACAGAAGTAAAAAATAGGAAGGAATATATTTTCAAGTCTAGTCAGCTTATTGTCAGTGACTGAGAAGTAGCAATCTGCACAGAATTACACAGAATCATTTAGTTTGGAAATGAACTTTAAGATCATTGAGTCCAACTGTGACTTTCAACTGCTATAAAAATTATCTACACGCACACAAAAAAGAAGTACAGCTCTTGGTCACTGCTTGTCACTGAAACAGTAGACAGTTTATCAAGTATTTAAATGTGCTATTCTCCCCTGATCATATCAGGGTGTCAACTGCAAGGAGTTGTGAATTATAAATTCTTACTTGCTTCATATTAATAAACACGATCCAAGGAGTTGAAAAGCAATATTCTCCAAATTTTCAGTTTGCAAATGAAAAGCAGGAAAAACACTTGAAAGGGCAATAGAAGAAGGGCCAGGAGGAGGATCCAGGGAACTACAGGCCTGTCAGCTTGACCTCAGTGCCAGGAAAGGTCGTGGAGCAGATCATTTCAAGTGCCATCACATGCCAATTAGAGGACAACCAGGAGATCAGGCCCAGTCAGTACAGCTTTAGGAAAAGCAGGTCTGGCCTGACTAGCCTGATCTCCTTCTATGACAAGGTGACACGCTTAGTGGAGGTGGGAAGAGCTGTGGATGTTGTCTACTTGGAGTTCAGCATTTTTTAAACCATTTCCCTCATCATCCTCCTTCAGAAACTTACCACTCAAGGCTTGGATAAGTACACTCTGCTCTGGATAAAACACTTGTTGGAACCGGGCCCAAAGAGTGGTAATGAATGGAGAAAAACTTGGCTGGCATCTGGTCACGAGTGGTGTCCCCCAGGGCTCAGTACTGGGGTCTGTGCTTTTTAATATTTTTATTAACGATCCAAATGAGGGGATTGAGTGCACCTTCAGTAAGTTTGCAGCTGACACCAAGTTAGGTGAGAGCATTGATCTGCTGGAGGGTAGGGAGGCTCTACAGGGGAATCTAGACAGGCTAGATCAATGGGCCAAGACTAACTGTATGAGGATCAACAAGGCCCCACACTGGGTCCTCCATGGAAGTCTACAGACTTGGGGATGTGTGGTTGGAGGACTGCATGCTGGAAAAGGACCCGAGGGTGTTGGCTGAAGATGAGCCAGCATGGCCTAGACAGCCAATGGCACTCTGGCTTGTATTATAAATAGGGTGGCCAGCAGAAGTCGGGAAGTGATTGCCTCCCTGTACTCAGCACTAGTGAGGCCACACCTCAAGCGCTGTGTTCTGGACCTCTCACTACAAGAAAGACGTTGAAGCACTGAAGCACGTCCAGAAAAGGGCAACAAGGCTTGTGAAGAGTCTGGAACACAAGTCCTATCAGGAGTGGCTGAGGGCACTGGAGCTGTTCAGCCTGGAGAAAAGGAGGCTGAGGGGAGACCTTATTGATCTCTGCAACAACCTGAAAGGGGGTTGGAGATAGCAGGGGGTCTGTCTGTTCTCCCTAAGTAGCAAGTGATAGGACTAGAACAAATGGATGAAAGTTGTGGCAGAGAAGGTTTAGGCTGGATATTAGGAAGAATACCTTTACTGAGAGGGTCTTTGGGCATTGGAACAGGCTGCTCAGACCAGTTGCGGATTCATCACCCCTTAAAGTATTTAAACAAGGTGATTATCTGCTGCTTAGGGACATGCTTAGGGATTTGGCAGTGTCAGGTTAATCGTTGGACTCGATCTCTTCAAACCAAAGAGATTCTGTGATTCTGTAACTTATTTTCTTGCTAAAATTTCCAAGGGTTTGGATTAGTGAAGTAATTGCAATTCTCTTGATTACATTTTGGAAGCAGATTTAGATCTTTTACTTTTCAAAGATTTATTATTTGTTGAAGGAAAAGCCTTGTGCTTCTCAGTAACAAAATTAATTTCAAAACACTTTCCTGAAGGTAAAAAAGATCTTTAAATACATGTTTTCCTTTTTTTTTTTGTTAAACTCTTCCTGACAAGGAACAAAAGCTCAAAGGTGTGGCAAAACACTGGTGAATAAAACAATATATACATCGTAAGGTTTAGGACAAGAGAAAAGAGGATGATATTCTTCAGACATTAGTGCATATATCAGTGAGTAGACAACTACAGTACTTTGCTCTCTAAACTTAAAGTTTATCTCTAAGTGAAAGAACAATTATTCATGCTCATTCTAATTCTTCCCCAAAATGCACGGCTGTGTTAAGTTTTACAGCTACCAACTTTTACCCAGAAGTCAGCGTAAATCATCTTCTTTCATTCAATAGATAAGCATGCATCATCATCTCCTAACCCTCACTGGATTATGCTTTGGAAAAATGCAAGCTTACAGAGATGTGCCTTTGAAAGACTAAAGTCATAAATCTCTGGTGCAGCATCTCTGATTCAGAAGCCAAGTATCATTATCAAATATAAGTATTTCCATTACCAATGTGATACTTGATACTGCTGGTCCTTAAGTTTCCCCTTAACAACAAGTGATGCCTAGAACACCAATTGTTTTGTTGGAGAGTTGGGAGCTTTGGCTTAAATGTAAAGACTGAATAATAAAAAGAACTTAAAATCTGACCCATCCGTTATTAAACTGGTTAATACCGACGTCAGTCATACTGGCTTGGAAAACAAGCTGTTGAACATAACCTGAGTTTCAAAGTTGACAGTATATACTATTTACCTCAATGATCTCTTAGAAACACCTCCTGTAAGAAGTGCGTCAATATACTGTACTGAAGGATCTGGTGGTGACCCTCCTTACTCACCTTGTGTGAATCGCGTTACAGGAACCAGTGAAGAACAGTAACAGAAAAACCTTAGAGCTAAAAAAACGTTAACTGTCTGAGTATCATAAGTCCCAGTAGCTTCCCTTGTTGATGAAAGTGAAGCAATGGCAAGACTGAAAAGCCAGTAATGGTAAAGAACAGTGGACTGTATCTACTAAATGGGCTGAAAATTATGGAAAAGCAAAGATGGCAACAAGGATCAAATGCAGCATCTGAAGGAACAAAGTAACAAATAGTAGCAACAGAAAGATTTTGGTGAAGCTGTTTTTCCTCCAGAATTGAGTCCTTCCACGGTAACTATCTCCTCCCAAGAGGTCCTATATCTTCCTTCATTTACTTTGTCCTTCATTAAAGTACCTTTGTCTCCCCTCCCTAGTGGGCAGGCGTCGTTGTGTGCTGTGGTTGGTGCTCTAATCTGCCACAGTTGAACAGTATGCCAGACAAAAATTAGGTCCAAAGTTTAACAGTAAATGCATTCAAGGAAAGTATAGACATATATCTTTAGGTAAGAACAGTTCACTACATATAAAACAGAAAGTCATATAATAGTTTACATTGATAGATTTTGCAATTTGTTGAGAAATATACAAAAATAAAAATGCTGCAAATAGGTGTATACATATACACACACATATATATCTATATATAAGCAAACAGATGTGAAAGAAGAAAATGGCAAAGGCATTCAAAGAATACTTGTAGAAGAGTCCAGACTGATACTAGAGTTGCAAAACTGGCAACTAGGATCAGTAGTTCCCAAATAGGAGGGAAAGGTGTAGGTACTAGCACAATACCCACTTCCATACATGGGTTATCACCTTCATAATGCTCATTCCTTATTTACTCATCTTAATCATCAAATACTCTCAAAAATCAACTACACTATGAACTAATCTATGGTTCTTTCAATTCTACACCACTTAGGGACTCGCCCCAAGCTGTTAAATGCTGCAATGCACATCCAAGTCATAAGACTTAATACACTGAGTTATCCAGGAAAACTCCACATCTATGTGCTGACAGGATGATAAACAGGTGTCTTTTATGACCGTTTCAGTCCAGTTAAGTGGCCCCAGATACATATCTCCCAGCTAACTAATCAACGGATACGCATTATTAGGGAGCATCTCTGCTGCACAGGACCCAAGGTAAGTATGTAAATGGCCAGACCAGAATTCTAATTTTATCTGAAATAAATCTGAGCTAATATCTTTTTGCTCAGGGTCAAGCTTCAGATACAGAAACTATTTCTAAATGAAAGAACTACCCTTGTAAGGTGTCACAACTCTATGATAAGAAGGACCAATTTGCTAATATAGACACAGTCATATTTTGCTGAGTTCCCTCACTCTGATGTATTTCAGAAATACCAAATCATCTCAGAAGTGAGATATTTAGTAATGCTGCTAAGCAGACTTATGGCAAAACCGCACAGCACTTCAAAGACAGAGTTGACAACAGCTCTGTAAATAAACAGCTGTACATCAGCATGACATGCAGTTCGAACTATGCATGATGTTTGTAGTTGGTCCTATTCCCGCAGTCCTGCCCTCCTCATTTTAATCATGGAACTAAGAATCCTCATTTTTCCCAAGTTTAAGTTACTCAGTTTCCAGAGCTCAATTCATTTCACTTGAAGCCTCTGTCCTGACACGAAGCCTGCTTTAGGAGTTCATTCACTGTTGTTCCTGTAAAACAGGATCATACTAATATATACAGCGCACAACAATGACACTTCATACTAAAGTAGAAGTTGATTCTTACTTTCAAATAAAATCTGGAATAGTCTGAAACTCGGAATGAAATTTAAGATTGAAATAAAAACTACCGTTCACTGAAATATATCTCCCCAATCTTCATGAATCTACATGCTAAAAGCTCATAAATACATGCTTTCTAGATACAGCATTTGGTTTCAAATCATGAAAGAACAATTTAAGCTGCCACTTCGTACCCAAAGCCCGATTCTTTACTTTTAAACAATGTATCTTAAGTAAATAAAGTATATATGGTTTGAATAAAAATTTTGCTTGCTTAGTTGGTGTACCTCAAGTGCTGTGCTGTATTTTAACCTATTAATCAAATTATTATAAAAAGATTCCAGCTCACATTGAAAATAAAAAAAGCTACACTTTACTTACACACTAATTGTAAAATATAACTTGGAACACTGAACAGACACAAGGAAACAAGTAGGCAGAGTATACAAGGCTAATCTTTGACAAGCAACTTACCACAGATGCACCCCTGCCAGTTTGCGTACTACCAAGCCAAGGCATATTGATAGGTGTGCCGGGATTACTATGAGTATAAGGAGTGGTTCCCTGAACATTTACCAGATCATCACGAGCATGAATAACTAAGAAATCATCAGTCCTAAAAGAGAAACAAGACTGTAAGTTAGATTCCAAACAACATTAAATATTATGTTTCTTTACACTGATTAATACACAGTCCAGCTGTGATATTGGAAACATAGAAAGTATACCCTTTATTTTCTATTTCCACATCATCATCAACCCAGGTATAGATTTGTGTAGCTAGGATCGCAGAAACATCTAACTCTTGAATGTCATGACTTGAAGCTATTGCAATGCAGTTTCGATTTGCCTGAAAAAAAAACCAAACACACAAAGGCAGATACAAAAAGAATACTCAAAAAGATGCTTTTAAAAAAATTATCTTATTATTGTACAGTTGTTACAAAACCATACACTTAATTTACAACATCCCAACATTTATATCTGCAAATCTATATACTTAAACTCTCTAAACTTGACATTTCCCTTTTAAAAGTTCATTTGCATTTGGGATAGTATCACATGCTATTTGTATTTTACACCTCTCTCAAGCAGCTCTAGATTCTCCCTGCTTTCCTCAGAGGATAAACATGGGGTAACTATACTACAATGCTCGCAGCCAGGCTCCCCTCCTCCAATTCTTCAGGCTTGAATGGTTAAACAGGAGAAGAAAAAATTACTTTCTGGTTGTCTTCAACACAGAAGGAAAAATACTCCTACACACAAGCGTAAAGAAAAAGTTGAGGCCACCTCTCCTTTCCTTCAATTCATTGCACAATAGAAAAAAAAAAAGAATTTGCAGTAGAAGTGATTAATTACAAAAAGATAATTATGAAAAGCTTTAGAGAAGGAAGCACTAAGAGTTCAATCTGTAGCGGGATGGCTGGCAAAAGATGTCTCACCCATTCACAATGGGACTGCTTATCAGGTGGAAGTACAACACAATCAGATTATCCTACCTTCTTTATACTCACCTTATTGACGGCAAAAGCAGTAATGATGTCAGACTCTTTATGAATTATTCGTGCTTTGCTTCCTGGGTATCCCAAATCCATTTCTATCTGTATTTAAAATGCAAACTATATTTAAAACCTCTATCGTACACTACTTTTTATTAGGAGTATAGAGACAAACCCCTCAACTGTATGAAATTCCATGTATTTTTTTCACTATTTTAATTTTAAGAGAATATGAGAAATACAGTAATAATAACATATATAACATATATAATAACATATGAAATAATAACAGTAAAACCGTTAATGTGTAATAACCTAGCTTGCCACTGCCATGCTGAGATTACCACAGCAACACAGAAAGCTTTATTTGTCACAGAAGTCCCAGTACTGTGTTCATTCTCAAGTTTTTTCATGCTGAAAACCAGCAGGAAAGTCAATTTGATCTTTGTCAGCTTATCTTTATACCATTCTCCACAATTAAATAAATCTAGAATCCTGTACATTCAAGTACCCCAAATGTTTTACTTTCACATTTTCTTTCCCTCACCCCCCTTAACCTGATGTAATGCTGTATTTGAATTTTATCTACCTTTCTGTATTTTAAAAATGCTTCCAGATATATGCCAGCACACAACAAAATTCTAAACTCTACCAGCACTGTAATACTCCTGTTCAAAATTAAGGAGTAAGTATTGCAAGTATTGCAAGTATTAAATTGATAGATTACAGACTCAGTCTATTGTTGTTACAAAAATAATTGCACAGTAAAAAAAGGTACTGCCAAACAAACGGTGACATAAAAATTAAACATGAATTATAAATGTACAATTTTCTATTTCTTTTCAAAACAAAAAGAATTATTCCAGAAGTACCACTTCCAAGCCTTTTTCCTTCAATTTCTTAAATCTCTGGTCTTCAGAAAGTATAAACAATCATAATTTAGTTAAAAAAACAGTAAGACTGGTGTGTCAAAAAACTACAAATGGTCTTTTTCAAAGTCTGAAAATAGTCCATAGCTGTTATACACCACAAAGTACAATACCTTTAAAGATTACCAAAATACGATTTTGTTTTAATCTAAGTATGTAAAAGTGCATAAGACTGCCGTGACAAACCAATATAAGACCACAATTTGTGCTACGTGGTGAACAAACTCGCGTGAAACTAAGATTATTTTTCCGCCGTCAGTTCCAGCTACCTACTTGCTAATACTGCTTTACTGCATAATTGGTAACAACAATGTAGCCCAAGGACATCACAGTGTTCTCATTTCTGTCTTCTCACTAGTGTTGTGTAAAAAAGCCTGAAAAATACAGTACTTGTTTGTGTTTCTTGACATAGTATTACACGCTTTTAGTCTCATACCAATCTTTCTTGAAAGCTGCTATAAAGTTGTTACATGGGTTCATTTGTCGCCATTTTAAAACTAAGGCCGAGTAAAAATGTTCAGTAGCAAACTGCTCTAACTTCAGTTAGCCCCCGTGACCTTTTTAAAGGCAACTCTTCTAGACATCCCATACCAATGAAAGATCCTGCATCCACTATGTTCCCACAGTACTATGGAATTTTTGTCACTTGAGCAAATCTGAATCCACTCACTTGGCATACCTATGGAATCCGATAATACATATTGTTCTTAGCTGTTTCTTTAATCCAGCTTTCTACGATATATTTAGTTTGGGATAGGCTCTGTAACAAGACTAGTTTAACTCAATCTCTCTCAAAACTGTATTTTTAAGTTTATTTGTTATGTCAGCAAAAATTTAAGGGAGATATCATTTCAAAAAGGAAATACTTCATAATGATGTACGGTCTAATTAATCTGAACATTACTACTGTGTACCTTATTGACGATGGGCAGCTCCACCACAGAATTTTTCATGTTTTCATTGTGCTCCTCTAATGACTTCACCAAGGAAAGAACAACCACAGAACAAAGAATACAAAGAATAAATATAAGACATAACCCTGAGGGTATCAAGGAAATCCTTAATTCCTTGTTGTTTACCCCAACACAGAACAACTGAAACAACATGATGTTTGCACACACATATATTATGCAGTAACAGTAATTACTAAATTCTAAAGTATACTCAGTACAGAAGACATTTACGTATTCTGTACCACCTTGTCCACCTCAAAGGTCAGATTTCTTAGAAAATAAGCTATCTCCAGTAACAAGTGGATAAAAAACAAAACCAACACAACTATGCTGTGTAAGGGTGTCAATGATCCTATCTGGAAACACATAAAGCACATCTAAAATACCTTTCTATACAGCATAGCAACATGGCTGCACTAATCAAAGACATGATCAGAAATGGTGCACCTTCAAAGGACAAGACAAAAGGAACAACTTTACTTTTAACTGCAGTCTGTAAACACAGTTAGCCACAAATACTCAAGCTAATATCTAGCTGTGACAGCATGTTGAATTTATTCAGATCTACTTCTTTCTATGTTTCTGCTACTCCACAGTTTTTCGATAATGCATGTGATTCTTCTGAATTACTGGGAGCAGCGTTAAGTAAGAAAGAGAAGTAGCAAATAAAGAGGGAGAAAAACAGCAGAACTCTATCACAGAACCACAACTTTAAAAAATTTAACTGGATCTGGAACCTGGAGTTCAGCTAGACACTGGGAAAAGTTATCAGAGACAAAAATACAAACTAATGTATGACCATTTTTCTTATTCAATCATAACATTATAGAAAACAGTGGATAAACCCAGGATGACTACGATAGGGACAAACTCAAACTTTTTTGGAACTTTGATTAGGTTACTGGTTAAAATCTTTGAAATTTTAAAGCTTGTTTTCTGGGGGGCAGCTTTTATGCTGATTTTAACAAAGAGGCTAAGTGTAGCTAAGAGGTGCTAGTTATCAGTCTACAAAGACTGAGAATTTTTATTTTCAGTGAAACATTGAACAAAGATTTTTTAATATGAAATACCAAGTATTTCATCCACTCATGCTCTAGAATGTAAACAAGCTAGCCAAACACCTTAAGTAAAAGCTCAGAAACCATCCTGTAATATTTTATGCATTTTACATAGCATACCAACCTCGTTTAGGCATCGTTTCTTTGTAAAAATATTTCTGATGAAGGTTTCCTGGACTTCTTCCTGTTTAACCAAGTACTGCCAGAGCCTCTTCACAGACAGTGCAACACGACTCGTAGAGCTACAGAATAAATTCAAAATAAGTATTTACATCACATTCATATCTGTGAGACTGTAATATCTTACATTCTGATCAAACTACAGTAAGCATGTTAAGCTTAAAACTTAAAAGATCTAGAAAAATTTTATTGTTTTTCCTGATCTTACTTTGGACCAGCAATGTATGAATTCTGATATGTCCCCAAAATTTCACAATGGATTAGGAGCAAATCTAGAAACTGGCATTATATAATTTTTGAAGTTATGGAATATCACATACACCAACAACACAATGTTTAATATATACTCAAGCTATTATAGTCAGTGTTCATAGAAACTAGACTCACCTGAATGGTGTGTTTGCAGGCTCAAGTAAAGTTTTATGGCGAAGCAATGCAGGACCAGCAGCTAGGGCATCTTCAGAAGGAGGAACTGACATGTAATGTTGAGGCGGACCCCCATATAGCTCAAGGCGTCGGAGAAGAACTTGTTCCCAGCGTTGCAGTGTTTTCAAAACTGCATGGCATATCGGGGAGCTAACTGGAAGCTCTAGAAAGACAAGTAAAAAGTAATAATAAAAAACCCCACTTTCCTGGTGAGCAAGAGAAAACCCATCTATGTCCTCTACTTTTGACTTCAGTAAGGCCTTTGACAGTCCCCCACAGCAGCCTTACCTCTAAACTAGAGTGATATGGATTTGATAGACTATTTGATGGTTAAGGAGATAGCTGAATGACTGCATCCAAAAAGTTGCAGTCCATGTTTCAATGTCTAAATGGGGATTAGCAATAAGAGGTGTCCCTCAGGAGGACATACTGGGACTGCTACTGTTCAGTATCACTGATAATGCTATAGGCAGTGGCAGTGAGTGCACCCTCAGAAAGTCTGCAGGTAACATCAAGATGAGTGGTGCCGCTGATTTACTAGAGGGACAGGGATGCCATCCAGAGGGACTTTGACAGGCCTGAGGAGTGGGCCCATGCGAACCTCATGAAGTTCAACATGGCCAAATGCAAGATCCTGCACCTGGGTCAGGGCAATCACCAGTATCAACACAGTGATGAATGGATTGAGAGTAGCCCTGAGGAAAAGGATCTGGGGACACCAGTGGATGAAAAATTTGACATGAGCCAGCAGTGTGTGCTCACAGCCCAGAAGGCCAATCACATCATGGGCTGCATCAAAGGAAGTGCGGCCAGCAACTCAGGGGAGGTGATTCAACCCCTCTTCTCTGCTCCCATGAGATCCATCCTGGAGTACCACATCCAGCTCTGGAGTACTCAGTACAAGAAGGACATGGACCTGTTGGAGCAGATCCAGAGGAGGGCCACAAAAACAGTCTGAGGGATGATGAAGAAAGGCTGAGAGAGTTGTGGTTGTTCAGCCTGGAGAAGGAAAGTTCTGGGGAGACCTTAGTGCAGCCTTTCAATTTTTAAAAGAGGACTTAGGAGAAAGATGGAGAAATACTTTTTACCAAGGCCTGTAGTGGTAAGAGAATCAATAATGGTATTAAACTAAGCAAGTGGATTTAGACTAGATATAAGGAAGATTTTTTTTTTTTATGATGAGTATGGTGAGACACTGGAGCAACTTGCCAGAGAAGCTGTAGGTGTCCTATCCCTGGAACTATGGAGCTTTGAGCAACATTATCCAATGAAAGATGTCCCTGCCCATGACAGGGGAGTTTGACTACATAATTTTTAAAGGTCTCTTCCAACACAATTACACGATTCCATGGAATAAGTAGTAGGAACGATGTAATCTGAATAAGAGAGAACTACAGTGTTTCCACCAAGAAATACATTTTGGAAACATTCTTGTACAACTAAGAGGCGATGAAAAAAAACTAAGTATACCAAGACTTCTGCTAACTACTGAGCATTCCTCCTCACCCACTCATCTTACCCACCCATCATACTATTATATAAATAAACCTGTATGCTAAACAGTTTCAGAACAGTTACTCCCATATCATGGAAAAACTAAGAACTTTTGAAGCAAAATTAAAGCTACAGCATTAAGTATGAAAGACAACTCTGCTGCTTATTACCTGAAAGATCATGTCCAGCCAAAGGGTAGAAAATCTTCAAATTGTGAAGTACCAGCTGAACCATTGCCAATCTCATCAGTGACCAACTAACAAGAAAGCACTAGTAAGTCATTTACTAATAGTAAAATTTTTTTTCTCACTGATTCACAATTAGGATTTCAATTTAGAGCTTTAAAACTTCATTATAAGCTGCTGAAAACTACAAACAGTATTTCAGAATACTATAGATACTCTGAATTCAAAAGTCACTATACCATGTATTAATAAAATGAGTAAAATAATAATTGTGAATAATTAGCTAGTAAGTCTACATAATGCACTTCCATGAAATATCAAGTAACTGGTGTATTATCACAAACTAAAAGGCCAGAAATGCAAGTCTAGCTATTGAAAATCATCTTGCATTCTGATGAGTTACTTACCTGTATGAATTTGAATTAGAATGCTCTTGGTTACAAGAATTTGATGCAAAAACATCTCCCTCAGTATCTTCATCATCTTCTCCACTTTCCTGACTCTCTTCTGAATCATATTCCACTCTATTTTGCGATGGAAGAAAAGGCTACAAATTTAAAAAACATTTCTTGAGCATCTTCTAGCCAATACTTAGTTGGTAAGAGCTTTTCAATACTTATTTTGCTTTACTTTGACATCAATGTATCAAACCAGATATAAGACAGACGTTTGTTATTTTTCGGAGAGAAGCCAAATCCACCAGTGTATTTTCTCTCTCATCCTTCCAAGAGTTCAGAGGAATGAGGAGCAAGAAAATCCTATCCCCTGCCTATAGAGTTCAATATTTATAAGCCCATCATCAGTGCTTTACTGTGCTATTCAGTATTTGCATTTCTTTTTGGCCTTGCATCTATAATGTTGTTTACATATTTATTTTGCTGACATGCCCAATATTTGATGCAGAAATGTACGATGCAAGTCTAGAAAGTTATATAACCTTCTACAAAGATCTGCCACAGCAGACTTGATAGAAGGCAGCATAATTTGATTTCTAGTAAGTATACACATTCATTTCACCTCTTTGAAAAAGATAAAAAGCTTCTCACATTTCCTTGCTCATCTAAATAGCTGATCTGTAATTACTTACATATTTGTACTCTGCAACTGTAAAAAACATGTTCTGTTCATACCATTATCTGGAAACAAATTAATAATAGCAGTTTTTAAGAAATCTGTTTCAAAAATACTTATAGGCAGTGAGAAAAAGCTAAATATGAATAATAAGAACAGGTAGCTTCTATTACACATCTAAGGCAACACCTGGAACAAAGACTAAGATGAAAAACTACCAGTCCAGAAGTGACAGAAGATATTTAACTGTCGTAAAAGCAAAAAAATTACCTTTGCAATGAAATAATCCCAGATGCTAAGCTCAGGAGGAATAAATCTTTCCCTGTAAGATGGAGATTCTTGGTCTACCAATGGCAATGCAGGTAACTGAGAACTCTCTTTTGGAGAGGTTTTTGATGAAAGCCTGTAACGTTTTTGCTGTTTCTCTCCATCGTCTACAGAGGACGAAAATAAAATATGTTTCTTTAAATTGGGTGTTCCACAGCCCTACTGCTTTTAATAAAGGAATTTATAATAGAAAGTAAAAATATTCCTTATTACAAGTTCTCAGAATTTTATGTAAACATTTCTTTAGCAAATAAGAATACAGAATGTTAATCCTCAAATATGCAAAATCAATACATAACTAGAATGCCAGAACAAGAAAACCTCCAGGAAAAATACAATAATATAAAACAGTATAGTACATCCATAACTGCATTAGAAGATTTCTCCCTACAAAGACGAAAAATATTGTTGCTCAACCAATAATACTGCAAAATTACATTACTTTAATATGTACTACTGAATAGCAATTATGCTTGGTTTTTAAGCCAAGAGTCTTATCTTTCAGAACATACAGTGCAAGTATTTAAGCTTGCCATTCCTAATCCAAGTGAGTTCTGTGTTTCATTCCAGAAGAGGTCTGTACATTTTTCTAAATGCTACGATTCTGATAAATCCATATGTCCTGAGCCCAGCAAACATAAAAGACCCTATTTTAACAAATACAATCCAATTTATAACCTTACAAAACCAGGAAGGACTAATTATTTGTAATAATACTCTAATTCCTAAGAATTAGATAATTCCCTCACTATTGACTTTTTTCAGAAAGAAGTATCTACAAGAGATTTGAACTACATTATTGATGTTTACAGTACTCAAGGAAACAGCTTATCCAAGCCATCAGGAATATCTTAATGCATTTATATCACATACAAATGAACATGTAAACCTCATTTCAGATCCCTTATCTTCATCTTAACTGAGAAGTACAAACTTCACAAATAATAAAGAAGTAATGGTTTATTTAAAAAGAGGCTCACATAATGACCTGATAACTTAAATTCAGTATGGTTCTTAGTAGGTGAACTGTATACCGATATAGCCTGTCACTGTCTCTGTCCCTATGTAGTACATTAGTGTTCTGGCTCTCCAGAACACTCTTGAAGTGGAAGGGACCAGAGAGAACAGGAGTCATATTTGGAGATTCAATACAACATGGTGGTCTTCATTAATCTTCCATTACAGATGAAAGAAAGCCAAAACATTAATACAATAATTCATTTTTTTTTAACCCCCTTTTGAATTCCCCCAAACTTTGAACATCATCTTAACCAAGTATTGAACATTTACTTTTCTCTTTAGCATTCCAAAGTCTTCCATTTCCATTTAAGGTTTGGAAACTATGCCATCACTCAAAGGAATCACGGAACACACTTAAGTTCTACCCCATCCCACTCCTTCAAGTAAAAAGGGGTGGGAAAAAAAAAAAAAGAGGGATGATTTCAGTCTTCAGCTGATGGAACAGTAGTAACAAATAGAATCAAAAGAAATAAATCTACAGGCTAAAAGAAGTGACCTGGAAATCAGATATCCCTATCAGTGATTTCAAATACCAACATATTGGGCCAGACTGATTGCAAGGACGAGATAAATATGAACATCACAAACGCAAATGCATTCTTTAATGGCTTAACTTTCCTTATTCCCTTCTGCTACCAAGGGCCCACAAAACTAATTTCCATTGAAGCTTCTGAAAATACTTTTTCCTGTTAATAATGCTGGAGATTACACAAAATGAACCAGTATCCCTATGCATGTCCAGACTGAAACTGCTACAAAGAAATATTTCTTGTGCCCTTATGTTTTTCTGGTTTACATGTTTATCCACAGAAGACCTGTATGCCTTAATAGATACTGGACAGATAATTTCCTTCAAAACTCTTACACACGCTCCAATCACTACACAACAGGGATAACACTCTGGACAAGAGATAAATAGTGCTCATTTAAGAACACTTATAAGACTTACATGCTTGTAACAGAAATGGAGCCAACCGCAAATCCCGAGGGAGGTAAGATTTAGGTTGATTTTTCAACTATGATTTTTTACTTCACTTTCTTTAAAAAAAAATTAAAACAACTGGCAGCTCCTTTGTACTCACAGAGGCTGATGGAATTTTTTCATCATTTCATAACTGACTACAAATGAAGATGACCGTTACCACTACAAGCAGCCAAACCATAAAAGAAGTTATAGATGTACAATAAAATAAAAGCTGAAGACAAGAGTTTCATCTTGAAAGTGCGATACTTTAACAGTCTGTATTGCACTACTATACTGTATCATAATTTTTTTATTCTATTAGGGATATTATTTGAAATTCACTTACCTGTACTAAAAGGTGCAAATATAATAGCTGCAGCACAATACATTTTCATTTCATTATTTAAAGCTCATCAGCTAAGAAACAGCATGCACATGCATCACTGTGTGAATTTTTAGCAATTGCTTCAAAAAACAGAAATTCACTAGGCATGAAATAAGGAACAAGTGTTGCATGATACAGAAATAAGCAATATATACTTGCAGGTTGTTTTTCTAAGCAGAATTTAAAAAGTAAATGCTTTACTTGAAAACACTATTTTTCTTCTGGCTGGATTCTTGGATTATTCTTTGTATTTAATAGTACTGCAAGCTACCTAGTTGAAAAGAAATCTATATCCAAGGCAAATAAAACTACAACCATCTAAGTGGTTTGACATACATACTACTAACGCCAATTTATTTTACTGCACTCTAAAAATCTTTAAATAAACTAACAAATTAATTAGAAATCTGACTTTGTCATTCGGGATTTCAGATCAGCAGTTTATTAACTTTCAAATTTCTCATATTTCTAGTTAAGAGTCATTTATCTTTGGTCCCACTTAAGACAAACATAAAGTTCTTGGTATTTTACAAGAATGTTTCAGACAAGAAAAACGCTTCTACTTCTGCCAAGATCTAACATATGTAATGATATTAAAAAAAATTTTTGCCCACATCTGCTCCCGTCCACCCTTCTAGAAGACCTAAAAGGCAAACCTCTTTCAATTTCCACCAGACTCAAAAATGCGAGTCAGAGTTACTGCAAAAAAGGCAAGTCTTCATTAGAGTTGTATGATTATCAAGTCCTCTTCTTACAAAAACATCAGCCTTTATTGTGGGCATAAACAAATACCAGCACCGCTGACTACTAGAAGAGAGTGGAATGACAGACTTATAACAAAGAAATACTGATGATAAATCACACCTCAAACCATTTTAGCAGGTGTAAAGCCCTGCATAGATTTCTGTAATTCTTTAAGAATCTATGAAAACTTGTGCAGTCAAGGTGATGAATTTAAGGAATTAGTACTCAAGAGCAGCAATTGCAATTAAGTTCCATAACCTGCAGTTTGATCACAGTCCATAGACTGTAAATTCTTTGTTGTACTTACACAGCATTTAATGAGTAATGATTCACTGAATAGCTCAAAACAAGTATATATAAAACTCTCATATATTTATGAAGACATTATATAGATTAGATAAGCACAATGAAATACTTGGTGGCATACACAAGCTTTGATGATATTTCCTGTTGCAACCATCCAAGGCTTCTTGCACCAAGCCAGAGTAACTCCATTCACACTTCAAGTTAAACTTCTAACCTGTTTAAATGGCTGACTTAATCAAGAATAAGACAGCAAGAAGACAAAGACTTTAATACAGAACAGAAAGGCCACACAAGTAATGAAGTACTTAGTACTCTGAAGTGCCATAAGAAAACAAGCTCAGCTTTGCAGTCTTCAATACTGAGCTGGAATTCAAGGCAATTATTCTCACGTTGATGTGGAAGTTTCCACTACTATATTGCAGGGGAATTCTGCATTAAAAAGAAGCAGTTTGGTATGGCTGCTATAGGTCCTTACACAAGACTTCAAACTTGAGAACTCTGTATTGTTTTATCTAACCTGAGATTAAGCCATTCCTGGAGATAAAGTCTAACTATGAAGACTTTTTACTGTTGTTTCTGATCTGCTAGTGAAATTGAGTAGCAGATATATAACATTGCTGGATCTAGTGTGAGCAGAAAGCTACTTAGTCTGAAGCACTACTAATGCAAGTTCTAGTTTTGTTCTTGGCTGTTTTTTCTAGATTCTGGATGAAACTTACCTCACTAGGGTACAGCAAGCAGATAAATTCAAGAGTTATAAAGGTTTGATTTTTTTCTTTACAATTGCCTAAGCAAAGCTTGTCCAGACACTAAATTCATCTTCTACTTAGATGCTCTGTTACTCTAAGTCAGACACTTAGAAAATCTGTAATGGCAGTATGTTTTCTACAAAGTCATGAAAAATGGTTTGTGGAGAGCATGCAGAAAGCTACAACACAATTCAGAGGATCTAATAAGTTAAATACATAGATAAGACTGACAGCAGGACTGCACATTCTATGGATAAATTTTACACACTCATCCTCATTGTCAAGGCAATTGTTTCTCTAAACCTCTTGCACATGAGGCAAAACTCATCACATTAAGAGCTGACAGTTTATCATTGCTCCCTAACAAAGTACTCATAAATATTTCTGTTATAAAACTTTTTTAATTGCTTGAAAAGTTAAGACAATCAACAGAGAAAGATAGCTCATCTTAATGGTCAAATATTAATCAGATTTCTGATTTTCTGCATCTGAAACCCAAAATAGTTTTCAAGTGTATAAAGTACACTTGTAAAATACTCAAGTTTTGGAAGTAGTTTTGCACTTGATTTACTCTTACAGCATGGAATGACTGAACATATTAAATGATGTCATGGATTTCTAACTGTTAAAACAATTCAAATTTTTCCTTAAGAACTCTATGGATTACCGTCTCTTTACAGATTTAAGTTACAAAGCAGTTTTCTGAGGCAGTTTTGAAGAGAAACTGTAACGTAAATAAGATTCTGAAAAGATCTGCTGTAATCAACAATAGGGTTATTTTCCAGATGCTAATTGCTTCTTGATAATAAAATATATCCACAACTCAAAGATATTATTCTAAGAAATTCCTAAATGCTAATCCAGTTTGTCAAAACCATTTGCTACAACTGCAGAAACAAGAAACACAAAGTCTAAATCATACTATGGAAGAAGGGCCACAGTTGACTGAAACAAGCATTCCAGTCAGTTCTCAGCGTTTGTTTCTTGGTGTCAGAGGAACAAAAAAGAAGGGAAAAAAAACCATGACAGTAAAGGCACAAAAGTACAGCTCATTTTAATCTGAATCCTCTGTTCACTGGGAATCTATTTTCTCCTTTCTCCGTTTCTAAAAAAAAATAAAATATTGAAGTAGCAGAGTAAGATGTTTCTCCAAAATTCCTTTCCCCAAACTTGCTCTAGATAAACACATATTAAAATCAAACAATAGTCCTATGGAATCATAGAGCTACATAGGTTGAAAGAGACCTGGTCCAACTCCTTGCTCAGAACAGGGCTAATGCAGGTGATGGTTGGTTTAAGTTTTGAATAACTCCAGAGATGGAAACTTAACAACCCCTCTAGTCCAACTCTTTCATCTTCCACAGTTCTATTATCCCTACAAATCAGCATTTTTCCCTTAAATTTTCACTTTCAGCTTTTTGGTTCTTCCAGCAACAGTTTCACTAATTCTGTGATCAGACAGTCAGCATTCACTTTTATGAAAAACATTCAGTAGATAGGTACTTAGTGCACATTTCAGAATACATTTTTGTGTAAAAACTGTATTTTAGAACAGTAGTAGCAACAGCATTAATACAACTCAGTATACAGTTACCAACACCTAGAACACTTAGAATTGCCAACAAAAGCCAATTAGCCTTCCAAGAATTCTGGTATGGCAATATATTTTCCCTAACAAATGATAAATAATTATTCAACTCAGAGAAAAAAAAAAATCAATTGAATTAAATCAAAGAAAATTGATTAGTGGTAGAATAAGAACTCATTTTTGATTAAAGATTTGTAGTTTGAAAATACTTTTCTAAATGTCTGTCAAAGTCTATATTTAAATACTATTTTTTCAGCTTTCCTTAAATGCAAAGTAAGACATTTTTATATGTAACATACATCTAATATCAATAATAAAACATAATAACAAATATTGCATACTTTAATTTGCATGTTACATATATTCAGATGTGGTGTACAAAGTCATCATAGTTTAAGCAAATTTATCTTTACAGAATCTTCCTTTAAAAAAATTTGATAATCTGTAGGATAGTTGCTCTTGGTTTTACAGTAGCCCAAGTAAATCACAAAGCACAAAACCGTACCAAAAAGAAAAGCATTACAGAATTCATTCTGGACCTCGAGATAATTTATAATCATCTTAATTTAAAACTTGAAGATTGCTTGCTTTCCTAAAGGGTTCTCAGACTATAAGAATTGAATATCAGCAAGACACCTTTCTTTTGCAATGTCTAGAATGAACACTTAGAAATCCACATGCATAATAATGCTTATATTCAAAAAGCAAAACAAGCAGCTCTTGAACAAAGATATGAAACACTTCTGATCCTCTCAAACCATGGTGAAAGTAATTTTACATTTAATATTGATTTTAAATTAAGTGTAGTGAGAATACAACAGCAGCACCGGCAATTTTCATTTTTAACAAGGCCAAATTCCACTGGTTGTTTAATTACAAAACTCTGCTTTAAATTTTGGTGTCATGGCTTGCAAACAGAAGTTTTTCTGTCTTTCTACATATGCAAAAAAATCACACATAGCAAACTGCATGTAGAGGCCTAGTACTAAATCTAATATCTTGCCTGAAGATTTGGTAGGACTATGAGTACTGAAGGTGGTAAGGGATTTGGAAAACCCCACGCATTCCATGGAGAACACTACTACCTGATGTGGGCTAGGCATTGAGAAGTGCCTACCTGCCAAAGAGAGAAAACATACTGTATTTGTAAAGTAGGTATATATTCCTGTTACGAGAGAACTGGAAAGCTTTAAAATAAACATTAGAAACCAGGCTGTAATAGTGCGAAAATTTTCTCTGTAAGATTAACTTAATCTTTTCACATTACACCAGTTGTGCTACTTGGAAACCTTATTTCCATAGCATTCACTTCTTCTTCCTATTCTTTTCTACACAATATCTATGGTAATAATTTTAGATGCTTATTTTTCTTTGCAGATCTAAAGCCGTCTCAAATTCTTACAGATCACAAACTATTAAAAGCAATTACTCTTAAGTTCTCAGCAGTCACACTAATTTTCTTAAAAGAAACTCAGAAGACAAACATGAATAAGACAACAGAACTAACCAGGTTTTGTCTTTAATTCTAGTTGTCCTCTGCTGGGTGTACGAGCTCCTCCTCCAAAGACAGCAGACCACATTTTGTTGTTAAGTGGATGAGCCATAATTCTATACAACTCATTGCTAGCATGTGTTGCCAGGCCATGGATGAATAGACTCAGATACACCGCAGTTAGAATTTCACAAAGTAAAACTGTGAGACCTGGCTGGGCCTCCTCACCAGCAGAATTCAGGAGACGTATTAGAGCTGTTATTCCTGTTAAAAAAAAAAAAAAACAAAAACAAAAAAGCAGTATGTGTGTATGTGAACACAGTCTCGATTATCATGGGCATTTTGACTGGCAACACAATTCATTTAGTATTTTCTAGTGTAGAAAACTCTTAAGTTTTAGAGGAAATTGAAAACTACTGTAATGTCCTGATCTTAGCTAAAAACTCAGTTCTGTTTAGTGATTTCTACTTTTCAGTTTAGTCTCTTCAAAAAGGCTGCACTTTCTGAATTTCGCAGCATGTTTTTGCAGACAGCGTGTGCTACTGGCAGTGATAACACCTGATGTTTACAGTTACTGCCTGGGACTGGGATGCAGAAAGGTTCTTGCTGATACTTATTCCTACAGTGACCAAGGCCACTGCTGGCTCTTGTGTGCCACGCTGGGGGTGCCGGGTAGTGAGAGGGGTCACAAGGAAGTAAAAGGTGGCACTTCTGTGGGGTAACAGACAGGACAGGTGACCAAAGAGAGTATTCCATTCCATATACGTCATATTTAGTATAAAACTGAGTGATCACAAGAGTTTATTTTCCTTTCCTTTTTTCTGCAATGGCCAATGTCCAGGGAGGATTCCATCTGACCTCCTGCTTTTGATCCAGATACTCAGTTCCCGAATCCAGCTCTCACCGCTGCTGAGTCTGGGGCTGCCCCAGTGCCTCCTGCTCTGCAGCATCCATGGGGCATGCTGTCAGGTTCGAAATCTGGCTTATATGTAGTTGTATATAGTTTCTTTATTTTCACCATTTCACTATTATCTCCATTATTGTTGTAAAAATCATTTTAGTTTTCTACTCCGTAAGTCTCTATGCCTCATTGCATTTTCCTTCCTGTTTTGGGAGGGCAGTGGGGGTGAGAGAGCATCTGCCCACATTTAATGGCCAGCCAAGCCCTAACCCACGACAAGGAGAAAGTGGTATGCTGTTATTTTTAACAGTTTATTTCAGCTTTTCAGATTCATGTTTTGGACTAACAGTTAAAGAACTAGATAGTAACTTTTCACAAATAAGGGGGGTGGAAATCACAAAAAACCACTCAAATTTTAGGCTATAGTTTAAATAGAGGACTCACAGCTTTATTTCAACTGCCTAGAACTGAAACTCTATCACACAAGGTTTAGTTACATGAATCTTACTTGACCCTATGTCTCAAGGTCTCTCTTTTGTAGCTCCTCCACTCTTTCAGCAAAGGGTTACCTCTTTATTCTCTACTTTTCATCTAGTGTTTCACCATATATTCAATACGCAGCATCCAAAAACTTAAAATAAAACTATCTGCATTGACTTTCATGTTGTACTTGTTTCATCAGTTAGGTTTATAAACTCCATCATAACACTGTAAGTTGAAATGCTAAACTCTTTGACTTTACAGCAGTAAAACTAACCAAAACTCACGGGCATCAACTTGAATGATGCATTGTCTGACAACCTCCAACTGTACTTTTACCCAAGTACTAAACATCTTGCAGTTTTTATGCTCTCACAAAAAGTTGTAGAGTTGCAGAAGTGGCTCTGACTATATCACTTTGCACACATAAGTGAAAATACAAATAGCAGTAACCAAAGAATTCTGTTTTATGTTGTACTCCTGCTTTGTACATGAAGCATATGAAGCTATTAGAAAAAGAGGAATCAGTTCAAGGTGATGTCACCTCTAAGCATAACTGCTAACAATCTCATCTCTCATTCATTAGGCATTTAACTCTGCAACTGAGATAAGGAGAAAACGACAATCTGATTTCTCTCTATAAATCCGTAGATTCAGTGACAGAAGGTTTTTCAGAGAAGAAAAAAACAGTATAGCAAACAAAACACTGCTTTAAGGTTCTCCAAAAGATTTCTTTCACATGAAATATTGTTAAAACAAATCCCATAATATGAAAGCGTCTTTCTGGTTACACTTAAATTAAAGCTAATGCTTTAAACTGACATGTATTATGTAGCTTACACTCCATCTAATGTGACTAGTATAGTCTCACGAGTATAGGTCTGAACATATTAATAATTACCTCAATGCCTACATGGATTTTAGAGCTACAGAAAAACTTAATTCATTATAAACTTCTCATTGTCAGAAGTTTCAAGTTAGTTCAAAAATTATACATAAGCTACAATCACTCTGAGATGGAGCACAAAATAAGTTATCCTTTCAAGTCCTTTTAAATAGAAGTATAATAACGAGGCTGATCTATTGCCTGCAGAGGGAGCAAGCAGAGCACAGGACAACAATCCCACTTTCTGACCACTTGCCCTTTAGTGGACCCCCATTAACTTTTTTTAAAGCAAATATAAATCAACTTAGTGAATAACCACAATTACTAGCTTACAGCTTTTGAAAAGTGAAGATAATTTATTATAAGAACTTACTTTTACCACACATTAGTCCAGAATTCTGCTACAAAGTCCAGAGCATAGCTACATGCTCTTGCAGCGGATGTAGACAATGAAGTTTTCCTTAGGAGGAAAGAAACTAATCAACTCTAGATACCTGGCCATTGAGCAGGTGACGTATTGGGAGTCACTGTTTCTTCTAAGCTTGTTCTTAGAGAATGGCGCTGAGTTAATAGCACTGTCTGATACACTGTTCCAGTGAATTGATTTGCTTGAAATGAGCTGTGAAACAGAAAAGTAGGATATTGTATTTATATACAAAAAAGGCGCTATGTTTAAAACTATTCAAGCCATAGCCCCTTCTAGATGTAGGCAAGTGTACAGTGAGACAGTGTGTTGATCATTCTCTACAAAGCACTTCTCATAGATCTTTACCTGTAGCTATGGCCATCACAAAGGCACTGGTAGATGCAGGCAGAGAGTGACGCTGCTAGGGTATGCATTACATATATCTGTAAGAAAAGGTTTTACAGAACATATTACACTCAGGATGAACCATGGTTAGTATCACAGCCTTTCACATGTACAGATTTGTAACAGAGGAACAAGCACTGAATATGGAAGGTATAAGAATGTAATGGCAAAAATCAGTTATGAAAGATATCTTCTCTTCAGAACTCAGTTCAGATGTATCAGTTTACTTTGCAATTAAAGGGATGGTGAACCACTCACCACACCAACCCATAATCACAAATGAGCTCTAGCTGCAATGTTTTTAATTAAGAAACAGTAACATATTAAACTTCTATACTTCTATACTCCCTGACGACACGGAGGCTGGATTAAAATGATCTCTGAGGTCTCTTCCAGCCTGAGCCATTCTATGATTCTATGATTACACCCTACGACAGGAGCAATATGTTGAGTCCAAATACAAAGGTTTTGCTTCCAAATGAAAATTGTGCTGCAGCTTAGTTTTTGACCAATTCTTATCTAGCTCCAAGATACACGCAATTTACTCAGTCACATTGATCACTATTTTTACCATAGCTGATAGTTCCTTAATATATCACAAAACACACTTCTGTCAAGAGTTACAGAATGTCTTGATTAAAAAGGGTCAGTTAAGAAAATGAGTTTATTATACTTATTTGCCCATTCCCTCTGAAATGAAGCACAGACTAGGAAATGAGCAATCGCTTGAGTGTTCTTTAGAAATCCCTATTAAAGCTAAACACTATTTGGTACTTAATGCATAAAAAGACTTCCGGAAAGACTTAAGCTAAAGTTGTAAGTTTGGTTTCTGGTCCAAGACTAAATACAGAAGAAAACTTACAGAAACATAACTTAAAAAAATAGGCTATATTTTACTGCATGAACAGATATATTTTTTCATATAAAAGTTTAAGACACATCACTGCCAATCAGGTTTTGTACTTCTAGGCTTAATTTCATTTATGTCTGGACGGAAATGCAGAGTTTACTATTAATGTAACATAATCCAGGCTAAGGGAGCTGGGTTTTTTCTCCTTGGAGAAGAGAAGGCTTCGGGGTGACCTAATAGCGACCTTCCAACACTTGCAAGGGGCCTGCAGGAAAGCTGGAGAAGGGCCTTTAACAAGGGCCTGTAGAGATAGGACAAGGGGCAATAGTCTGAAACTGTAAGAGGGCAGATTTAGATTAGATATAAGCAAAAAATTCTTCACCATGAGAGTGGTGAAACACTGGAACAGGTTGCCCAAGGAAGTTGTGGATGTCTCATCCCTGGAAGTGTTCAAGGCCAGGCTTGGTGATTAATCTAGTCCAGTGGGAGAGAGGTGTGCCTGCCCACAGCAGGGGATTGGATCTTCAAGGTCCAATCTTCAAGGTCCCTTTGAACGTTAACCATTCTATGATTCTGTGATATTGTCATAAAGACAATACTGGTAGTGTAGTACACGTTTTCCATAACGTATGTCATGTTGGACAAATACCCAGTCCAGAAAGCAGCCAATCTACTTCAGCTTGTTGGACCAGATGCTCAGCACCTCAACAATAAGTGGATATTACTTTAGCCCAAGATAGGTAGCACAACATATGTTCCACATTTCTATTACATCTCACAGATAGGCACACCAGAAGGTGTTCATGCTGTCAGAAAAAACGCTCATGGCTTCAAACTGGACAATGGCAACAACAAACCCAAACAACTATCAAAAAGAAATAAATATACACACCTTGCTGTTCTGAGCATCTGGATGAGGTGGTGAATCAAGGTTTATTATGGCATGTAATATATCATGAGTTAAGTTACCAAGATGTAGCAAGGGATTAGCCACCACTGTTTTGGCACTAGCTGTGCAAGCAAATAGCAGAGGTATGGAGCTCTGCTCTGACGGAGGGCTGGAAGCTATCTGTATTGACTGCTCCTAAAAACAAGCAAGAAACACATATATGAAGTGATAGTACAGCTTCCTAAAGGAAAGAGAAGAACTTTGAAGGGAGGGGTAAGGGATTCTAAACAACAAAACATCCACAGTCTATAGACAAAAATAATGTTAGTAACAGTATTACATTTATCATAAAACAGGTGCCTGCTATAGTGGGAAAACTTCAACAATAATATCCAACACATTAAAAAAAAATAAGCTACAACAAATCTGAAGTAGAGAAAAAAAAACAGACTAAGCTCCCCCACATACCTGCTGAGATTCCTGCAACAGCAGAATTAATTCCATTCTGACAGATGCCAAACCTCCACCATGAGAGCCATGAAGTATACAGTAACTAAGGAACATTCTTAGAAGAGATTGGTATTTCAGAAGCCATTGGCGTCTTTTCTGAAAGTCTTCTTTCTGTAGATTATTTTTTTGCTGGTCAGCTAAGTCTTCAGTGTTTTCACGTAAAGTAGCTTCTTCTTGTATCCTACTAACTCCTGAATGTACTTCTACATCGACACCATAATCACAGGTCTTTTGAAGAGCTACCACTTCTCTTTCAAGCCATTGATAAAGCTGATACCTCAACTTCCCACCATCTACCTCATAACCAGTGGACAGTGTACGAAGCTCTACAGTAAGAATTTTCAGGCATGCTCTAAACTTCAGCTGTGCTGAAATTGTATCTTCAGATGGACTTAGAATATCATTGTCATCAACTACACTAAAAGATTCTGTGTAGCTAGAACTCGTTTCATATAATTTTTCAGTTTTCTTCAGGGGTTTTATGTCTTTCATTACCAGGGAAGAATCTTCACTCTCATCACTTTCATCACTGTCTGACTGTAGTTTCAAAGGTTCATCCTGGAATACCACACTTGGCTGGCTCCAGTCAAAGGAAAGAGTTGAACTTGAATGTTGTTCTGATGAACAATCTGAAGATGAACCTAGACCATTCAATACTGGCTGTGACCAATCAACACTGGAAGACCGGTCTTTTGCTTCCAAGTCTTTAACTGGAGAAGATGGTGAGAAATCTTTAGTAGTATCCCCTAAACTAGGAGATCTACAGAACGACTTTGATCTCATGACAACTTTGGGCATCTTTGATAACACTTCTAAGGCCAACATTGGACAACCAGCTTTTAGATGTGCATATGCAGTGGTGAAAAACAGTTGTCTTTCACCTAGGTTGATTTTGTCAGCTAATCCACTTTCTACTGTTAGACAAACATGTGCAGAAGACTTATCAGAAGAGCCAAAATGACGTCTCAATAAGAGGGGGTGTGTTCTTAAGTAGTTATAGAAGTTAAACACAGCAGGGTTACAACTTGACGGGCCACCTCCTTCATCTGAAAAGATATTGTAAGATGAGGATAATATATCATTCTGCATGAAATAATTCATCTGCAAAGTTCTAAATTCACAAAGAAGACTTTGGGATCTTAATATTTATTCAATTGTTCACTGTATCCCTCTTTTCCCCTTTCTTTGCAGCTTTATCATTTAAGTGTCTTGGGAGGGAGGACATTGACAAACCTAATCACTACCAAAACCAGAAGCTTTTAATTTTAAACAGTTGCCATTTCTTTCCCTTGCAGTCAGGCTGGTTCTACTGCAGTCAAATAAGACCACATTCCTGTTCAGTTTACATTCCCATTGCTAAATCAAAAAAATTCAAAAAAAGTTTTAAAAAATTCCAATTTTTTTGTTGTTGTTTTGTCTGCCTCTTAACAAAAATGTAACTTAAATTAGAACCAGGAAATGCATAAACATTTATAGATATTGGAATCAGTATTACATACAAATAAATGAATGATACAGCAGTGAAGCACCTATACAATCTATTCATGTCCAAAACCAAAACACAAAAAGATATGTAAATCATTCTATGCTGATGCTCATATCTTTCAAAGTGTCCAGGTTATTGGAGACAGACACAGTGTCTTTAACAGGAGTTACAGCACAGATTATAGGAAAAGGTACATGAAGAGCACCTTTTAGGTAAGAAAATAAAGTAAAACATCACATACAAGACACTGAACTGATTAAAGAGTAATAATATTTAAAAATGATTTTACACAGGATGACATGACCAACACTGAAGTGACCTAAAACTATATCCCTAGTTTACCCAAAATTATTCTGAGGCAAGAAACTTCTGAAATCAATTTTTAAAATTAATTACACAAATCTAGGGATTCAAATCTTCATTTATCTATATCAAGCTTCTCTCAGTAGCCAAGAGTTAGCTAGCACACTAACTACTAGGGACCTGAAACAGTTAATTTCCTTGAGGAGATTAACTTCAGGAAATTATAGAACTGATTTTTAGAGGGCCTATAAAGCTAGCGAGTGAACAGCAAAAAGAATCATTTTAGGAGACTCACATGCTATTTCAGGCACCACATGGGCCTGCTTGTATCATAAAAAATATGAAAATCTTTCCTATGGCAGATTATCATTGGGGTAACCATTTTTGCCAAGGACTAAAGGCTATAACACACCACGTCTTCCAGACTCTACAATGTAACTGTGAAATCAGAATTTTTCTCCTAGGTTGTGACGGAAATAATTTGCCTCTTTATTTTTAAGGTAATGATGGAAAAACAGCTGCATCACTGCAGAGTCAGAGTCACTCCATATCCTGATATTCACATACTTAAAGGATAAATTAACTATCCTTTCATGGCTTAAAGAATAATTAACAACTCAGTCACCACATTTACTATACAAAACACACACATTGCTACAGCAAGCTATTTACTAGCAATGGCATGCAACCATGCAGTATCTGTTCATGTTCAGACTTTGCTCTAAGAATCTACAAAAATGAAGTAACAGCTAAAACCAACTTAACAGGCAAAAAAAAATATTCTTACCTCCTTCATCCTCAACAGAATGTTTAATCAAAGTGTCAAGAGCCTTGCTATAATCTTCCAAAATCCAGTAAGCCATGCTCCGCAGAAAAGGGTCACAGTGTATGTTTCCTGAGCTCTCCTTTCCAGGAAACATACTTCCCAAAACTCTCTTCTGTAGTACAGATTTATACGTACTAGACACTTCAAACTCTGACTCATAAAGTCTTGATATTACAAGAGCCAGCTGAATGTCATTCAGTTTTTCAAGGCATACCTAATTGAAAATAAATACATTTGCAAGACCAAATGTTATTCTCCTCTGGTTAAAATAATCACAAGACAGAAAGTGCTATCAATCCGTTCAGACAGAGGTAAGTAAGCCTATAAACTAAAAAAAAAATTAGCACAAACTGTGGAGAATAGCTGTGCCTAATTATTATATACAGGATCTAATTTGCAATTCCTTTAGTTTAAGCCTGACATGACAATAGATCTTTAAAATCAACCAATTTCAATAAATCATTGTGCACATGACACTCCTTGAAGCTGGATGTTTTGGTTACTAAACTCTGATAATGAATGTTTTGTTCTGTAAAGAGACAAACTTCCTCCCAGCCTTTGAATTCAAACAGACCTAAGGAAATTATTTTTTTGTGAACTGATTCTAGGAGCCAACCCACATCACTGTGTCAAAAAAATCATTTTCACACCTGGAACTTTCTAATGAAAAAATATGTTGTCTTCATTTATGGCAAGGCAGACAATCTGAAAGCAAGTCAATAGTACGACAGCCTCTCAGTATTATTATAGAAAATCTAACCATGGGGTTTTTTTTAGTATCACTAGTATGAGAGCTAAAACAGAATCAAAATATTAAGATCAAGTATTTGCATTTGTTATTAACTGTGGGGGTAGTGGAGGAAGGGCAGGGAGGGGAAGAGCACAAACCAGAATCTTCAGGGGTCATACTGATGTAAAACACAAGTCGTATTCAACATATCTGTAATTGTGGGGCACTATAAAAGCCTTAAATATTAAAAAAAAAAAAGTTCATATTATTACCTCCACTGCATCTTTCAAGTGTCCTGCCAACAAGAAAAAAGCCACAGAATGTTCAAAGCGCTGTTTGCCAAGCAAAGAAAAAGCATTCTTTAAAGCTGCTTTACGCCATCTGTCCTCAGCAAAGTTGTTTCCAAAAAACTGTGTCATTTTAGTGTCTTTTTGAGACCTGTATATTGAACATAATGGATATAAATATTATATTGAACATAATTGATATAAATATTATATATTTTACTAGATGTATTACAGCTCTTGTTGGTAGAATTTTACAGGGATCTTTTCATCTGGAAATGCAGAGGCTCTCACCACACTGGGAGATTAAGAGGCTTCATATTTAAAAATAACAAAAACTTAAATAAATACAAAAACTATCGGTAGTTTCAGTTAACCTCACACAAACAGAGAAAAGATCATTTTTCCCAGGTGGGCATTTAATAGTATAGCAAAAACTACTTTTTAAGAAGTCTGCAGTGTTGAACGCCATATTACGAAGTTGCAGTTTGGAAGACAGACTTAATTCAGTCCTCCGAACTTAAGGTAAAATTTGTAACACTGCTCTAAAAGATAAGCAATGTCTTTAGACACATTACACCGATATTCCTCAAAAGTACATCAGAATTAAGCAGTGATTGAAATTACAGTAGATTTGAGAGTAAAACTTGAAACATCTACCTTCAGAAACAGCAAGTTTAGTAAATACAAGAAACTTAAAACCTACCCTTTCGAGGTAGTGACTAATTCAGAAATCAAGTCTCAGGTTCCAGTGATTCGTGCTTCTTTGGGATTACCATCGCATTCAACTTTTGCCCCAAAATCAGAGCAGACAGTGTGAAACTCCATGTAAGAGCTCACGTGTTCCCTACCTGTATAATCCCCAGATCACAGCCTTCTTTTTCATTGCAAGGTAAAAAATGGCCGCATCAAGTGGATCATTGTTACGCTGAAAGGCTGCTTTAGCCACCTGTGAAGATAGTTCAACAGCAAAAAAATCCAACCAAAACTTAAATGAATCTTAAATGGTATTCTTGGTCCTGTTGGTATCCCATGCCCCACCGTGCTTGCCAAGTTCTCATTAATAAGATCTCTATTCTCATCATGAGTCTGACATACGAACATGCGAAAATACCACAGCTTCAACACCTTGTTTTTGTTTCCTATCATTTAGCTAATGCTCTTCCAGTTCTAGAAGCTTTTTGGCAGATCAAATGGGAATGCCTACATCTGAAATCAGTTTCTGAAATCTTAAAAAAATTAACTTATTAGATGCTGGTAACCAAAGGACCGACGGAGTCTTGAAGAACAGGCTGGGATGAGTCACGACAGTTTTTCAGAGATTACTTTTGGAGGTTGGAAAGGAAGGAGAACTTAGTGGCAACAAGAATGCTTCAAGACTCATAGAAGGTAACCTTAAATGCAGGCGCACAGTACTTCAAATTAATTTTTAATGCAACTTCAAATTTTTGTTAATGCAATGAAGGTAAATTTCACAAGATCATGATTAACTGCTGAAGACTGAAAAGTGAAAGTAGGAGACGTGCATTTTAGTGTTTCGTAGTCAAGCTGTGTTGTATATGTCATTTTATTTTATACCTCAGTACACCTAGCTTTTCCAAGAACTTAAACCAGGTGATAATGAGGTTACTGCCACACCTGTGGCATAATTCCAAAAAACCCACAAAAAATCCAAGCCAAATGAAACAATAGAAGGCTTCATTATGATGGAAATCTATCAGTTTGCAAGACATGTAAAAAATCTTAGTTGCTACCACTTCTGATAAGTTTTTAAGGAGAATTTTTTTCTGTAGTCTGTTTCCTATTTTTGATATTAAAACCCCTGTATGTTAAACCTGTATCTTGAGCATCTGAGCATCCACAGTAAGCACTGCACACATCCAGATTTAAAATGGAATATCTAAAAGCACAAAACGTATTTCACACTAGAATTTGAAACCTGAAGTACTACAATAGTCTATATTTATACAAGAAACTAGATGTACAAAAAATATGGCACAAAACATTCAGAAACACTAAATGTATTTAAAAATTTAAAAACCACATAAATTGAACGGTAAACACCAGAGAGCAGATGTTTGAAAATTTTAGTAATTTTACTTCAGAATGCTATGTTTACCTTTTCTATGCATTTTCGCAGGCTATGGATATTTCGAACCCACCATCCTACGCCCATAGCTCTGAGTTCTGACCAAGTTGGATCTCCTTTCTGCACTGCAGGGAGCATGCTCAGTAGTTCTTCTTCTGCTACTGAATGAAATGCCCAAGCAAAATGACTAGTAGATAAGCCTACATAATAAGCCATCAAAAAAGAAAAAAAGAAAAAAAAGGAGAGATTCATTGCTGAAATAATCCAGAATCTGAAGTCCAGGGTGTAGGAAAGGTAGAAGGAAAGAAGGTCAAACTGTTTATTTTCTGATTTTTAAGTATACTGCTAATGAGGCAATAGAAATTTAAGAATATTTGCAAGCAATGTACACCAAATATTAAACAAAGCTCACAGAGATGAAAACATTTTTCACATGTAAACTCTTTTAAGTTTTCAGAAAACAGTAACTGACTGAAGCTCAAAATATACTTATAGTAGGTGGCATTAAGATCAGCCATGACACATCAAAGTACGACATACTGGTCAAACTTTCAAGTTTTGAAAGCTAGGTTCACTCTTTTGACTTAGATTAGAAAACAGTTTCAGATAATTACAGTAAAAAACGTTTCAGATAATTACAGTAAAAAAAAGCTTTGAGGAAACAGATACAAAAGGAAACTGAAAGAAATAAAAAAAACCTGTGAGGAAGATGGCAATAACTAAGCAGCTGCACAGCTGGCTATGGATAACTGCAACTACTGAGGGCCAGCAGAGGCTTCTTTGCACAGAGGCACACACAGCTGCACCACCTCAGATGCTTTGGAGGCACTTCTTACTCTCACCAATTTCTCAGCCCAGCGGAAGCGAAAGTATGCCAGCTAGAAGTATTCCACTGGAGAACTAACTTAACAGTACTTTGTTGTAGCAGTCCCGGCAAATTCCAATCTCTGATGCAGCTGAGAGTTGACAAGCCATGAGATTGGAAATGCCACCAACTGTCATGAAAAGGTAAAGTAATCACAGCTAGCCCTTTAGATTTGATTAGGCCTAATCAAATCCATCTCATTCAGTCCTCTGCAATATCAGCTCGGAACTACGTAAAATTATACCAGATAAAACTACCTAAAATAGTTCACTAGATAATTACAGTAAGCATACGGAAAAAAAAAGCATTTAAAGTCCTAAAAAAAATAAGTAACTATATACTCCAATTTCTACTGTATTAGTCCTACAGAAGGTTACTGGAGCAATATGATACTACAAGTAAAAAAAAGCCAGTTCTTTCAGAAAATAGAAAAAATAAAACTAGAAAATTGTTGTATTAAAAAAATCACTTCAATTCCAAGATCTCTACCTAAAATAAAACAGATTTTCTTGTTATGGCATACATTCCTACTGAGCAGTATTTAAAAACAAAATAAAAAGCCCAAATTATTGATTCTACAGAGGTATGTCAGCAGCACAGAAATCAGGTGTACATCACTATGATACATATCATCTAAGAAAACACATCAGTTACCTTGGTGAAGGAGTTGAGCTCGGTGTATAGGAGGAAGTGAAGTTGTTAAAAACGTGTGCAGCCGAACAGCCAGTAAAAATTTTAAACCACACTCATCAAGAGTTTCTCCACCTGGAATGAAACAGAGGATTTTTATACACACTTCAGAGAAACTTCTAAAAGTAGCTATGGTGTGTCTTAACAAAAGAAATACTTCACATTTCTGTGACTACTGATGCTTTAAGATCATAAACACTAACAGATTAATTCACAATTCTTCCCTTCAAGGAACGGGAAAGAGGAAAACTTCAAATATAAGATGTTATTTGGTCTTAATGCAAGCAACAGAAAAAGCGTTATATAAAAAAATCCATAAACTTATTTCTCAATTTCTCTGCATGGTGCAACAAACACTGACCGTTAGAAACTTGTCTCTTCGAAAGCAAAGTAGAAACAATTGTGATGTGCGGACTGATGGACTAACACTGGCATTAACAGCAAAACAAAATTTGATTTTATGCAAGTCTGAAGTCTTGAAACTATCTGAACAGTAAATACTCTGATGGCACAGTAAATAATACAGGCTATAGTATGAAACAAAATTATGATGTGCTTTCATAAGCCACAAAAATATTCCAGAAAAGGAAAAACTCTCAAAGAAGTTCACGAAACACAGTAGAACATTTTACTTGGAAGAGATAGCTTACCCTGACTTCTGTCTCTGCTTTCTCCAATGTCAGTGCTGGTAGTAGCAATTGTGTCTGCCAAGGCCATCAATGACATTTGCTCCATCCTAGTCAGACCTGGCAAGCTTGAATGAAGCAAGTGACGAGAAAGAACTTGGGCATGCTCTGGTCCAAAGTAAGTTGGGCTATACTGAGAAAGATCGATGACTTTTGGTTTTGAACTGTCTTCATCCACATCAAGCATCAGTTCATCTGTACTTGTAACAGTGTTTTGAAAGAGATCTTCGTAACTGTCAGTCGTCATATCCCTTATATTATGGTTGGTTTGATTATTAGACTTCTCTAAACAGGAATGACATGAATCATCATCTGCAGCAAGCAGAGCATACAAAGGCAATGGTGGAACAGAGTCTATTTCAATATAGTCTGTAGTCTCAGCTCTGCTGAACGTTTTGGGATCTCTTGCAGTACTTCCACTAGCACTGATGGTCAGAGATCTGAGCCTCTTATCAAGATTGGATTCAGATTCATTTACAGCAACCACCTCTCCAGCAATGCACTTCACCAGATGGGACAGAATAGCTTTAGCTCTACGTACTTTACCAAGATCCATGAGTTCCAACAGTTGATAAGGATGGTACTGAGGTAAAGTGGGAGATAATGTATGAGCTGCTTCAAAAAGTCCAGAATCTTCCATTTCCATAGACAGATCAGAGGCAGACTTTTTTCCACTAAGTTTCTGTGCAAGGCTGGTCATAGATCTAGTCAAGGCTCGCTTTGGTGGATGCAGACCAGAAGCAGCTGACTGACTTTGTTTCATTAAGCTAGTTATACATGGCGTACTTCCACTGTAGGAATCTGTACTAACTAGTCCCTGCTTGGAAGGAGATTGCCACTGGGAATAAACATGCATTTCACAGTCCATTCCAACAACAAGAATGCCATCACGCACCCAAGACAACGAGACTGGAAAAGGAGGTGATCCCTCCACAGATGAAACTAAGTCGACACAACGCAGCAGAACAAACCTAGAAAGGGCTGTAGCCTTTGTACTGCTACTGTGGGAGATTGTAGCAATCTCCTTACCGTTTTGCTCTTGCATTTTCCCAGACAGCTGACCAAACATATAAAGTTTCGATCCTATTCCCACTGTTAGAATATGGGAACCATCTTCCCTAGACATCCAATCTAAGTGTACCAAGTGCTTAGCGCTGGGCATACTATTGCCACCATGAGAGAGAGAAATGTCTTGTCTGTTATACTCCACTAAAGTACTATCAATACTAACCCCAGAGCCTAACACGGTGCCTATCTCATCTAAATCAAGAGTCTGTTCTAGAATCCAAGAAGAACCCCCTGTAGATTCACATTCAAAAATACTAACATGCATTATAAAATCTTGAGAAAGATAACTGGTTTTAGATGTTACCTGTTTGTATGCTACTGCTAATCTGTTCGTGTGTGCACAGCTAACTTCAGTTGGCCTTCCTGGAACATTAATAGCACTACTACTAAGAAGTCCATCCTCAATCAGTAATGGCCATTCTTCCCATACATATGTAACATCATTATGCGTGCTATATTCTGGCATGGAAGAAGCTGACGATTCAGTGGTAACTCTGCATCTCCAGAATCGAACTTTTCCATCAGAGCATGAAGTAGCCAGCAGATATGGTGCACGACAAACAGGATATATGGAAGAAGAACTCAGATGTCCTAGAAATTAAAAACATTTTTACTGGGAGAAATATTAAAAGCAAGAAAAAGTAAAGTCATTTTTACTCAATTATTTTATTATTCTGAAACACAAAAAAAATATTAGCCTCTCCTCACAAAGAGGGTGGTTTGCAGGGCCTCACAGAAGAGACATGAAAAAATTTTATGAAATCATTTAACACTTTGTTTCCATTTTAAGCGCTAGAGAGGGGTCAAGTCTTATGACTTAAACCTTAATATTAACATCTATCATCTCTCCAATCAAACATTTGCCATTCAGAAATCTAAACTTCTCTACAAAATTTTGAAAGACTGCTGATGGAAGCCTTAATATTTAAGTATAAGATCCTACAAAAAACCTATTATGAATGACCACAAAACAGATTTTTGTTTCTGTAATTGCTTTTATTGCAAGAATCTGGAATTCAATTATTATCATACCTTATATAAAAGCTTTTTTTTTTTTTGTATTAGTCCCAGGACTGAGATAGGAAGTCCAGGGAGTAATTTTTAGCCAACATTTTAGATCCATCTGCAGGTGTTTTTATTTTAATAAAAAATATCAAACTTATTATTACTTTATTTCTATTTTAAGATCAAAGTCAAAAAGGAAAGGATTCCCTATTTTATTCTTTTTAAAAAAATTACAAACCTGCTGATGGCTTTACACTTAGTATCTCTACTCCTTCTGGCAAATTCAGCTCTTGACTATACACCATTTTGGAAGACAGAGTCAGCCAGCTGGTGCTCTGAAGGTTTGCTCTACAGGCCTGATACTTTTGAGTGAAAGGTGATTGGACCTTCTCTGGATCTGGTGAAGAATACAACTCTTCTGCTTGTGCTGTTGCTTCAGGTGTATTTGAATCTACCTTTTCATCTAAAAAAAAGTTTACATTGTTGATTTTAAAACAAGTCAGTGACTTCTTTTAGCATAATCTTACTCACCTTAGAAGTTCCAAAACCATCGATCAAACATGACTTGACATTCTACTTTCATTTTAATGAAATATCTTCCCATATTCAGATTTCAAGAGAAATGCTAGCAGATCTCAGATTAAATACTTCTGAAATTCTAGAACTGCTGAGAAGTTATAGCTTTTAACGCTTCAGTCTTAAACACATCAAACTGTAATTAGAAACTCCCAAACTGCACGTAAAAGAGATACATAGGTGGCTATCCACAGATATTAACTCTTCATGAAGCACAAAATACCTGCAGCTAGAGAAAATTAAGACCTCCACGTCTTACCTTACAAATTGGGGAAAATTAGTTTAAAGAAAAGTTTTTTTAATATTTGCTTAAGATGTAGTATCTAGGAGATAATGCAATACAAATGCTTCACTACTTTTTTTTTTTTTTAATAAAAGTCAAGAGCTAAAGAATTAACTTGATCAATTTGGAACATGAAGATTGCCAATAGGTTGGTTGAAAATCCTTATTGATACTGTCCTCATCATTTAAGTAGATCACAAAATTAAAACTAACTGCAGGAATACTTCAAACAACTGAAGGAATTCTGCCTTTGAAAGCAATAGTAAGACAAATACCAATTTGGTTGAAATGACAGAAATACACATTCTAACAGATTCCTCTGGTATGTGTTGAATACCAGATTGTTTTCTTAGAAACTTTAAATGTTAACAAAAAGCTACTGAGGTAAATCTTAGCTTACTTTAAAAGCCTTACAGCTTTCTGTGGTGGTTTGGTAGTCTGAAAGAGAGATTGTTTCAAATCTTCAAAATTGTTCATAATTTTAATATCCCTCTTGTTTACGTGCTCAAGACTATGGTCCAGGTTAGAACTTATGTTTAAAAAACTGCAGAACAAAAACATTTGAGAATCCAACCACCTGAACTGTTAGGCTGTATTAAAATCAGATAAACATATTTGTCTTTAGAATATGGGGATTGGCTTAACTCAGAAGCTTCAGCATTCTAAAGATTAAGAAGTAATCAATAAAAAATGGGTTGTGATGAAAGCTTCTAACTGAACTGAACATCCTCTCAAGAAGTTGAAATACAATTTAGAACACAGAGAAAAGCAGATATATTCACAAGATAGAAACATTTTCCTAAACAGAAAAACACAAGAAAGAGGGCTTACCTACTGAAACAGGAATTGACTTCAAATGTAAATGCCACATATGTAGCAAAGAATGATTTTGAGTATATTCTACTACTATTAAGTAGAACTTTTCAGAGAATCCGCTCTGCTGGTTTCCTGATGAAATTCAGAACAGGAAGATCTTAGGGTTTATTCACCTGAAAACAGAACTAAATTTTGCTGGCTAGCAAATAATCATATTAAGCTGTTGTAAATTAACACTGAAATGCAATGGTTTGACCATATCCAACTCTCATCATATTAGTTTTCTTAGTATTTCATCAAAAGTACACACAAAGAACTTTCAATGTTTTCCTTCAGAGATTTCAAACTACTTGACTGAATTTGCTGTGTTCATATTTAAATGCCAGAATGTACTCATGGCTCTACACCTTTGTTTTTTACCTGCTCAACTCTTACAGTTTCTTAGCTATGTCACTGGCAACTGTAATAGTTAACACAGTGAGCTTAGACAGAAGTTTGGCCTTTAACATATAAAAAGTATAGAAGCTGCATCTAAAGATGTGTAAGAAATACTTTACCAGAGTCTGACAAACTGTTCTTTTTGGTTATTTCATTCTGGTTATTTAAAATGAAGTCCTCTTGAAAAACATGAAATAACTGTGTTTTCCTGCCATGCTAAAAAAATAAACATAGACAAGAATTGAGCATCATGAACACACTCCTTAAAATTGCTCTCTACCATGGGTGCTATATAAAACAATGAAAGCTTTCTCAAGAAAATGCACCTTTATCACTTGCTTTCTTTTCATTTACAGGTACTATGAAACCAAAAGCAAGCATATCTCAGAATCAATCTTTAAATACCTCATCTTTACCTGGTGGAGAGCTACAGGTATAGCCTTTATTATTAAAACTTTTCAAACAAGCTGATTATGGTATAAAATGAGTACAAAAATTAATAATAAAGAAAATAAAGTCTTACAAGCTCTGTGATAGCATCCAGTTCAATGATACATCCCGGGCGAGCTGTAGATTGCTGACTTATGATGTTAAAAACTTCACCAACATATTTCTGTTTAAAAAGAGTCAGGGGGATGCTCTTGTTAACTCAGTTTTGTGCATTTCTGGGGCCTGCTAGGTAGCTGCAACATCATAAGCAAATGTTAACTAAAACATTAAACATACATTGGTTGCACTCCACCAAGAACACAGGAAAAATTCCCAGTTTTATCAAGAGCCACATTGTTTTCAACAGCTGAAAAGTGATGAGAGTATCTGCAAAGCCTCACATTCAGTACTTTATTGTCACTTCCCCAAGCTGCACTGTCATCTCAACTTTCCTTCAGGATGGACAACACACACAGTTTGTTGATCTGTTACAACTCTGCGTAGTGCAAGTGTTTCAGAGGTACTTCCCAACCATTGACGTGCCTCACTATACAGAGTTTGGGATTAAACTGAATGTATATGGATACAATGCTAAAAAAGCTTTACTATACCTGTTCTGAAAAAGCAGACCTGAACTACCATAATTTGAAATTCTCATCAATCAGCTTTGTTATCAACAAGTCTGAAACTGGTGCTGCTGAATGAAGTTCCAAACTTGAGACAGCTTTTCACTTACAGAAATTTCTGGGTTGGAGAGCTCACACAGAAGTTTCTTAGCATCTATTACAGCTTGATATAATCTCAAATGCTGTCCATCACTAGCCACAAAGCAGGCACTTGGAGAATTGCAGTATGCACCTGAAAAATAAGAATGCACAAAGTTATCATATTCAGACACCAAGTCACTCCCTATATGGGTTTTTTTCTTGGCAAGAGGCAATTTTGAAGTTATGAAAAAAACCAACACAGCATACGAAAAAAATCTTTCTTTTTAGTTTATATTCGCTAGCAAGAACTAGCACGCTTCATGCTGGACTCAGTAACCAAATCAAAGTTTATAAAAGAAATTAAGAACCCTAGTTCCATACCACAGCAATATCTACCTCTGCTTTTAAGTGTTCAATACAATCTTAAATACGCACTAGCATCTAAGAAGTTTACTGTCCTACCTCCTAATATATCAAATACATAAAAGAAGGAAGAACAGACCAACTCCTCACACAGGAATAAACAATTTCCAGGTATCAGCAGATTGAAAATTTATGAAATAAAGGATCCATGCTTAACATACCTTCCAATGCATTCTAATATAGCTAAATTATCTATTTAATAGCATTATTGGATTGTATTACTCTTATTCTAGAACACTTCACAGATCAGGAAACAAAACTCACCAAGGCAGTAGCTGGGTATAAGTGTGGGCAGCCATGCAACATTAGAAAAAGCCGAAATATGGAGAGAATTGATCCGAGCAATTTCAGAAACTCCACCAGAAAACGACAAAGGCCCAACAGGGTCAACTCTCCAAAGAATAAGTTCACTGTAAACTGCATTGGGATCCTGGGATGTTACATTTGTATTGCCTCTACTCTGAAGTCTTATTGGAGACTCCTGAGACTTCAAAGAATCATTTGACTGTTTTGCATTCTCAACATCTGGTGAAATTAGAGCATTGTGATGTGAGGTTGTAAGCAGCAGTGGTAATACTGAGTGGCAAGCCAAGTCATTAAGATGAAAACGGTGACCACAATATCGGGATTTATGTGAAATACTGAGTACAGTTGAAAAAGCAGATTCCTCAGCAAAACTCACTAGCCACTGGTTCAATGACCCATCTGCATGTTTGGAAATCATCATGACATTAGGTGTGAAGATACTTAGTTTTAAACTGTTGGTTGATTTACTGTGTCCAGAAGAGATAAGCATAGATGAAGATCGTGTAAGGCCAGGAGGCTTTTGTTTGCCTTGTTGTATAGCTAAGTCAACATTTTTGGTACAAGCATACATCACTATACTTCTGCAAAGAGAGTTTGCGTCACCCGTTGGAAATGCAACAGGAATTCTTGAGACAAATGACACCTGGAATTTTAAGGGAGAAATAAGTTATTTTCTCATCATACTTGTAACTGAGTAACTAAGCATAATCCTGAAAAAATAAAGTACCTGCACCTGGCGAAACATGCCAGGCTGGTATTCATCTAGCCAGTCCACATGCCAGACCAGTAGAGAACCATCCATAGGATGTATACTGAATAGCATGTCAGCATTTTTACTCCACTCAGAAAGCAGTACTTCAATTTCATGATCAATAATAGCAGAAGATAAAGGAACAAGGCTTGGAGTGGTTTTCTCATCACCCAGTTCCTTCTTTTCCTGGTTTCCTTTTTGCTGATCTCCATTTTCAAAAACTTCTAGAACACACAGAGACATATATATTCGAAAGCAGAAGTATAGCAAGCAGTGTTATTCTGGAGCACCTTTCAAGCTTTTTATAAGACACTCATACACAGACAAATACAAAAAAATGAACGTTTTAACCAGAAACCCTCTAGCAAACCTCAATGACTAGCAAACCAAAATAGTTTATACTGTACATGGATTTGAAATAGTTTTATTTTTCCCCACTTCACATAAATTTTTGCACACATAGGCAGAACGAAGCAATCATGTCCAAATTGTATATATTTAAGTTAATTGACCATATTGTGTTATAAGGCTGTTTAAATTAGGTGTACATGAATAATAAAAAAAAAAGTTAATTCTAAAGTTGCACTTGTTTCCTCCAAAGCTTTAACACACTTTCAGGCAAAGGTCTGAAGGTCAGCTTAATTAAATAACACAGTTTTCAGCATAAATAACTCAAAATCTCTGGAATAACAATAAACAAATTGATAACTTCTAGATACAGATTTTCAAAAGACACTTAGGTACTTCCAAAGTAAGGACTGAAAATACTATTGTAAGCTGTCTGTATGCTTACATGTAAAGTTGCCTGTCTCTTGCCTCACATGAGAGTACATTACAAATTACTTTGTAAAATAAAACCATTTGTCTATTATAAAAGACTTTTACCTCCTTCTGATCTGCCATCCATTTGATTAGATTCCTCACTATTAGTCTCCAGAGAATGATGTTCAAAACTCTTTTTAAGTTGTTGCAAAAATACTTCCATGGATAAAGTAAAATGAAGTTCTTTATTGTTTAACCAGTGCACAACAAAAGGTCCACTTTTTTCTTCATTTTCACCAAGACTCAGAGATGTGATAGAAGGGAGTAGAGGAATATCTACCAGAAAAAAAAACATATTGACATTTTTGAAAGCAAAGTAGTCTGGTCAAAAATAATTTTAGGCAAATTGTTTTTAAGCAGAACTCCTACCATGGAAAAAAAAATACACTAAGTGTATTGTCACTTGTGACTCCTTTCACCAACACCATTAAATTGCTTGATTCTACAACAAAAGTTGTTCCACGGGGAGGCTCTTTGGTATGGTTACATTAGGATTACAGTATGTCCCTGTACTGTTACATCTTCATGATGTACCACTGCCCATATCTGTTGATTTATCATGTCTTTCGCTACTATAGTTCAGTACAAACCAAAAGAATTCAGTTTAATTTCCCAACATCTAGTCCACAATAAATGCTGCAATAGGCACATGCTGTAAACAAAGACCATGTACAACAGGGCTTACACTAGCAAAACAACTAGTACAGTGACTAAATGATATCTTCTAATACCATGTAAATCCAGGTTTTCTAATTCCTATAGATTTGATTATTAATTTACATTGTCCTGTGATGCTACTTGATGTCCTAGGTGGCTGTGAAAAATAAAGCAGTAATCAAAAAAGCAATACAAGAAAATATCAGACTGCTGCAGAACAAAACAATCTAAATTAAGTGTGGCTAAAAAATAGCTATGTGATTTATTGCGAATTCCTCAAAATACAAGCAGCATGCTGAAAGCTGTATTTAATTCTCACCCAGAAGTCTCTTTTTGCTACAGTTCCGCATTTTTTTTCAAAGCCAATGATGGCTTTTGATTAGCTTCCCTTCACTTTAGCCTAAGAAAATCTGAATTGAGCACACAATAAAAGATTGCTATTGAAATCACATTTTTGCCCCTTCTCCTACCTCAAAACTACCAACTTCTAAATGATGTTCAGCTCTGACCAAAACCCTCAGTGAATGCTTATTTGCTTTACAAATCATATTCTCCCTTTTCAGAAAACTCCTAAGGACTTGGGATATAATAACTTTTTCTGAATTTGCCTAGACGTAATTTTGTCCTAACCATCACTGTTTATTATTTTCACTGAACTTCACCCAAGCTAGATACCAGTTTAAGTAACATGTTAGTATAAAAGGTGGTCTATCAAGGACTTTGTCGCTCTAAGAAAATGAGTTTCAAACTTAACAAGAGAACACAAATACAGTAAATATTAAATATACACTTGTTCTCATATATGACAGCATTAGTCTTCAAAAAAAGAAGGGAATAAGAGATGCCCAAAACAGGGAGGTTGGACTAGATGATCTCTAAGGTCCCTTCCAGCCTAGGCCATTCTATGATTCTATGATTCTATGATTCTATGATAAAGCTGCTTCGGTCTTAGCTTTTATCAAGTACTCTGAATGTTGCAATAAGGGCAATTTTTCAAGTGAGAGATCACAAACTGATTTGGTTTAAATCAAATGAAAGAAAATACGATTACTTTTTTGGATTAAATTTAATTTCAAAAGGGCAAACTAAAAGGACTACTTAGAGAATCTGTTAGACCAAGGTACTCAAGGACTTGGCTGTGAGGGAAAACAGATACTTCTTCAAATTAAGATTCAGGATGTCAAAGTTACTTTGAACAGAGGTTCTGCATTCATTAATCTGTTAACCTTCAATCCACTGAGTTAATGATCAAGTGATCCAAAAAACAGTAATAAGATAGATAATACTAATACAGGTACCACAGAAGCAATACAAGATTAAAAAGGGCAATGAGAAGTTTTAGACAGCTAGGAAAATATTTTACCATTATCTTCCAATATCATTTTTATTCTCATTTTTTAAATTTGCTGTTGCACGCATTTATATTGCAAAGACTACTAAAAGTGAAATTATGTTTACTCAAACAAGGAAACAAGTGCATCAATTAAGACTTGATATAAGAACAATGAAAAACTACATGCTAGCCACATGAAAAAGTTAGCTAGTTCCTTGTGCAATTTGAGGATCCAGAAATGCAAAGAGAACTACAAATCTCCAAGAAGCTTTGGAGAAATTTTCATTTATGACTTCAAGTAGTAACATATGTGACTAGAGATATTTACTGTAGAAATAGGAAAGCACTGACGGTACAGCACAAGACTAACAAAAGTTCCCTTCTGGTAGGCTGGATGTGATTCTAGTCCAACCTATTGAAATAAACATGGACCAATTCTAAAAAAAAGACGAAGACGAATTCTAATACTACAGGAGAAAGTGCTTACAGCTGACTCAGCCCAGCAATAGTCCTTCATAATATAACAAAGGCTGTAAAGCTACAAATATGAACTCCTCATGAATGTCTTTAGGTCAAAACTGGCCTTTCAAACAAGGGTCAGTAGGAACAAAAAAAAAACAATTTAAAAATACTATTTAGAAGATAGAGTTTAATTCGTTTAGAAAAAGGATTATATATCATGTTTGTTCATTAAATCTAGACAGAGGAAATCAGATCACAGCCGCAAAACCTTACTGAAAGGCCATTCAATATTGCATTTCCTTCAGTTTTTCAATAAACAAACCAGTGCTTCATTTTCAGCATACACAACCAATCATGAAAACATTAATTATAGCAGCTACAGGGGATTTCTCTCAATGCCTATCAACATATTGCTTGAGAGCAAGAGAACATTAAAGTTTACGGAACAAAAGTTGAAGGAGTATTTTGTTTACAGTTACACAACAGAAGTACAGGGATGTGTGGTTAATGCAGACACTTGGCGTCAGACACTCATTTTAAAAAGTTTGAAAAGTTTTAATTTATCAGTGTGTTCCCAATATCATATACAATTTCAAGTAAACTCGTAACTCTGGTTACAAATACCTAGCTTTTTGCATCTCAGACCACTCTGAATCTCAGTTAATAGATGATCAAAACCGAGACAGGATTACCATGGAAGAAATTAATTCAAATCATTAGTGTATAAGAAGGTTCTCTCACGCATTAAATGAAACCAACATGATAGTAATTTCACATCATCATGTAAATACTGTACAAATATATCTGAGCCAGTTAAGCCTATACAGGTAACAGAGACCTATCAGAAACTGCAGCTCACTCCGTAGCTAGGATTTACCACATTTCTTACCTGTAGCTGGATTGATACTGGCAGCAATATGGAAGTGACAAAGCGCATTTGCATGAGGAGGGACGTTCCTGTGAACTTCATGTGGATCTTGCTGATGTGGAACATATCCAGTATGTGCTACAACAGCACCTGACCTCCTCCTCCCTCGTCGAAAGTGCCTCAGGTTTAACTGCATGAAAAATAAGTTGTCATTTTAATTCCTTTCAAAAAACAGTAGATTTCACCTGTAAGTCGTTTTCTAGATACTAGTGAGTGAATGCTTTAAAAGCTATTTTAAAGCATCAGTGGAGTTCCGTGCAAAAATTACATTGTTCAGGTTGTCTACTGTAGAAAGATACTAGTGCTTTCAGATTCATTTATGAAGTACCATACAGTACCTTGAAGTAACTGCTTCATATTTCAGTGTGCAGACTGTATACTTGAAAACAATAATGTTCCATGCTTATTCATGCACATCATGCTTATGAAAGATTCTGAACAAACAAAGCAGCAAAACTGAATATTCTCACTTCTGAGGCTTAAAAACTTTATCAGTACTTTGGATCTGATTAGATCAGCACATACACCACAAGGGCTGAGCGACTTTCAAGATCTTCCTGACTACAACAGTATTAAAGTCTCCCTCTACACACACAGTTCAAGCCCACTGTGCTGCAGATATCTCTATAGGCATCTAAAGGTACAAGAAGGTATATGATTTGTATTAAGGATGATAGTATAACTCTGAGCATACTCTTTCCACTTGCTGTCCTTTGCATCTTACTACACCATGCTCATGTAAAATAGCTTTCTCTCAATTTCTATGTAGTTGATATTTCTGATCTCTAATGCTGCCTCTAATTTTCAACAGGAACAGAGAACTGTCTCCAGTGTCTTTTCCCCTGCCCCTTTGAATGTTTTTCTTTACTGCGTTGTGCCTTTCAGACTATTTTGCAACTCTGCCACATGTACTAAGAATGTGGCATAAAAGATAAAAGCACAATGCCCACATACTCTCTACACAGCCTTGCAGGAGACCACTAATGCTTCAACTTCTGCTGCTTCCCATTGGTTAGAAAACGCTATCTGGTAAGGATCATTTGCCTTGGAGATAGAGCTTACAAGCATCTGCTCTACTTGAGGACTACAAGCAGTAAGGCAAATTTTATCTTTCTTCTCTCCGCATTATCACTTTTCTCCAGCTGGAGAAGCCAGAAAATATCCAGCAACCTCAGAGGTAACAAATGAGCCCCTGCAACACATTTTAAGGTAGCATCATTATTGGGTTTCACATAGCCTATACACAGAGGATGTGCTCCACACCTTTCCTAGGCTTATGAACTAGATCCTGCAAACCCCTTTGCTTTATTTACCAGAGCAGAACAGGCAGTGAGTCTTCTAATGTGAAAGCTCAGCAGAGCAGCCGTCAGCTTAGACTTCCTAAGCAAATCCTTTTTACATTTGCTGTACAAAGGGTTTTAGTTTGATACATGTTCAAGTTACTAATTACAATCCTGTCTAAAAATCACATGTGCACACATGTGTTTATTCTCATGGTTCAATTTCACTTCTCACCTCTAAAGCATTTTGCACTTTTTCTTTACTTGAAGTATTTCTCTTGAAGTTATTTGTGAAGTTTGCTGCTTCACTCCAATTGTTGTATCCTCCACCATAGAGCAGGCTGTCATTGGGTAACAAAGTCTCTGCCCAGAGACGACACACATTATCCTTACAGCAAGTCAGGAGTACATTGCAGACAGCACCCCTAATGAAAGAAAATTAAAGGCATGAAGAAGCTGCTTACTATCACATACCATGCAAATAAAGTGAGTTTTGCACTATTAACTTTCAAAATTGCACCAAGTAATTAAACTGATCAAAGAACAGCTCAACAGTAAATTCTTAGGAAAACAAAGTATGTATGAAAGGTTTTCATATTTACTAAAGTATCTCAATAGAAGTCACTTCAAACTTCATTACACAACCATGAAACACCAAATCTCAGATTTCAAGGATTAGTCATAGCTGGAATAGCAAAATTTACATTTTCTTTTTAAAATCATAGAGTCACAGAAACACCAAGGTTGGAAAGGATCTTAAGATCATCAAGTCCAACCTACAGCCCTACACCACTCAAACACTAAACCATCCCCTCAAGCGCCTCTTCCAACTGTTTTTCAAATGCGTCCGGGTATGGCAACTCCACCATGCCCTTCGGCAACCCGTTCCAGTGCTTCACCACCCTTTTGGAGAACAAGTTTTTCCTAATATCCAATCTAAACTTCCCGTCACAACTTGAACCCATTCCCTCTTGTCCTATCGCTGTTCACTAGGGAGAAGAGGCCAACATCTGTCTCACCACAGCTGCCTTTCAGGTAGTTGTAGAGAGTGATAAGGTCTCCCCTCAGCCTCCTCTTCTCCAGGCTGAACAGCCCCATCTCCCTCAACCTCTCTTCATAAGACTCACCCTCTAGTCCCCTGACCATTCTGGTTGCCCTTCTCTGTACCTTCTCCAGCACCTCGATGTCCTTCCTGTACTGGGGAGCCCAGAACTGCTCACAGCACTCGAGGTGCAGCCTCACCAGTGCCCAGTACAGGGGCACAATCACTTCCCTGCTCCTACTGGCCACACTGTTCCTAATACAGGACAGGATGCTGCTGGCCTTCTTGGCCACCTGGGCACACTGCTGGCTCATGTTCAGCTGGCTGTTTATCAAATCCTTCACATAAAGAGTTAATCATACTCTGGATACCTGTTCTCAACTCCACGCATCTTACAGCTGTATAGCACTTACGAAATTATGTATCCAAGCCAGAAAAAACAGAGTAATACCAGAAATGTAAGAGCCCATTTAAAACTACAAGATTTTATTAATTATTCTTTTTCCAAATGCAACTTGTTACATATATATATAA